CGTTCATAGATCACATAAATTCGATAAAAATTGCTGTGCATGCAAGCTTCCAATTACCTATAGAACCATCCCTTAATTACATATACAGGTGATCTGTAATTAGCGCTCTAGGCCAGGTTCGTACTCATAAATAAATCCCCTAAATCAACCTGTTTGTGATTTATTATCACGAATGAAGAATAAAATTTCGTACAATTTACTGACCACGATGCAGTCTAAAAATCTTCAAATGTCATAAACTACCGCAATACAATCGATACCAAAGCTCCCAAATGTCACAGGTGTTTCAAAACTCTAAACTAATAGAATACAGTGGTGTCAGGATTTTAGTCCTTCGACTTATTTAAAAAAAAGCCACATGGTTGCACCATATTTCACAAAAAGTTTTCGCGTTTTTAAGACGTATTTGGTGTGGTTTCCAGTTTTGGCCATCGAGCTGAAGATCGTGTCTTGAAATTTCAGTCGCGGCCATCAATTTGCATGAGCTTACAAAACAGACTTAATGATGTTTCGACTCCCGTTGCGAATGTTTGTAACACGATATGTGTGTTAAATAAACGACATGATAAGGGATTTCTATAACTTACCTGGCCGTCTCGTACATGTGTCTATGAGGGCCGCATTGGTCCGAGCCGCGAACGCGTGGTCGAACTTGTCAAATGCAGCAGCGTCAGCCTATCTGGGTCGATAAGCGCCGGCACACTGACTGACCCGACGACGTCGCCGTCGCGATGCCTTCGATCTCACCCCCACTACGCCTTCGTCCTCACAAACTTCACAAACTAACTTTTAAACCATCATCATTTCCGCATCCACTGCCTGGAATATGGAGCACTGGCAGAGAGCACCCTCGACCACGGTGCATGACTTTTTCGGCCAGTGCAACAATTTCTTCATTTTCTCTCTTAATTCAGAATTAAAAACACCAAATCCAAGTATTTGTTGCATTTGACACACTTGACTAAGTCAGTAAATAACTTGTAGCTTCTCTACACTATTTAAAAAAAATCCAAATTATAGAGTACGTAAAGTAAGCCTCTGGATACACTTAATTATTGAAAATATTGTTTCTACTTTCAAAAGTTATCTTATTCTCCCCAATTTCTGATGTAATTATAAATTGCGAAATAGGTTAAACCTAAGCAAATTTGTTCTAATTAATAATAATAATAATAAATATTTCAAAAAAGTTAAAACTTTTTAACGTAATAAGAGAGTTTTTATAAAAAATTAAAACTATTTTTCTTTTCTTTGTTATACAAACTCATCCATTATAAACATGTGTCTTAATAAAAGAACAGTTTCAAACTATTTTTTCTACATAAAAAAAGTAGTTTTGAGTTGCTACACTATATTGAAATCGAGTTCCCTCTCCTGTGTAAAAGCTCCCCTAAAGCTATATTCCCGATTTTTATAACGTTTTATGAAACGCAACATGCCAAATCCAAGTAATTGATGCATTTGATTCACTTGACTAAGTAACTTGTAGCTTTTCTACACTATTTAAAAAAATGCAAAATTATAGAGTACGTATAGTAAGCCTCTGAATACACTTAATTATTAAAAATATTGCTTCTACTTTCAAAAGTTATCTTAATAAATATTTCAAAAAAGTTAAAACTTTTTAAGGTATGGGAGTTTTTATAAAAAATTAAAACCAATTTTCTTTTCTTTGTTATACAAACTCATTCATTATAAACATGTGTCTTAATAAAAGAACAGTTTCAAACTATTTTTTTCTACGTCAAAAAAAGTAGTTTTGAGTTGCTACACTAGGTATATTGAAATCGAGTTCTCCTGTATAAAAGCTCCCTTAAAGTGATATTCCCGATTTTAATAACGTTTTATGAAACGCAACATTTTATAAAGGGTGCGCCACAACTCGCGTTCCAGAGAAAAATGCCATATAAGGTAAGATACCAGGAACATGGGTTTAAAGTTTGCACTTTGACTCTATTTATTTCTGTTGGAAAAATAATTTTTCAAGTTTTTTTTGCTATAGGCTATTAAAAGAGGAAACAAGGAAGCTGTATCTTAAATTGTAACTCTGTTCAATGTTATTTGTGGCTTTTATTGGCAAAATTTTTGTCCCTTTACTAAATAATTGTAAAAAAACATATACAAGATCATCAGTATCCTTAAATAGATATAAAAAAATGTCAAATGTCAAAATTTTTTGAGAGATTTTTTTCATATTCCTGGTATCTTACCTTACTTGAAAATTTTCTTTGGGGCGCGAGTTCTGGCGCACCCTGTTAAGAGATTATGTTAACGCATGAAAAGAATTTTCAAAAATGATATTCCTAACAATCCTTGTCGCCCATGTATTTTTTTATCTTAACCAAGTGGGCGCACTCCAAATGTCTTTGATTGAAGACAAGGATTGTTAGGAATATCATTTTTGAAAATTCTTTTCATGCGTTAACAATTTAATAATTTGTTCATCATTCTTCATCTGATGTATGAGTAATTACTTATTATAATTTTTTAAAGAATAACAGTGGTTTTGAAATATTATTTCATACTACGCCTATGAACAATATTTTTTTAATCAGTAAACATATGTTTAGCGTTAAAATTCAGTCATTTTTGACAACGTCAGTTCGCCACCAGTTTTGGAACAAGCTCTAGTAAAATATGTAGTAGCAGTATAATACATAATCATCTGTCAAAAATATTAGTGTTCTAAAAATTTGGATTATGATGTCAATGTTTTTGAAGCATTATTTTTAAACTTCCTCATTCTAATAAATATACATAGCAAGCATATGAGATCTAGAGCTATTGCAGCAGTTAGAGCTAGAACAATACATGGTATAAGCGAGTCTCTGGTGTCAACAATGGAAATAGGCAAACTTATGTCTCCATGTATGTTGTGTAAAGATAATTAACTTTATCAATAGTAAGACGTGAATACTGTTCCGTAATTGCACTGATTTCAACGTGCTTTAAGCTATTTACTAGCATTCTTTATAGCTGAATCATTTTATACATTCCAGAGATGTCTCACAACAAACCTTTAGTTCTTTCATCAGATCTTTTATTTTAAAAATAAATCGGTCATTCCTTATCACTCCCGATTAAACAAGTGTCCATCTTTATGAATATAAATGAAGACATTCTGCGACGATTAGTAAATATAAAACGTCGATGGGTGCAAAGTGCAAATAGTGCAGGTAATTATATAACACAGCCCGTGTCAAGGTCGTTTTAGTTAGCAAGTCTGTCGGTGCTTTTTACACCTCTCTCGCTGAGATTTGGTTTGGATGCATTCCAATAGTCTCGAAACATCACCTCACTTGTTAACATGACACTTGGGTCAAAGAAACTATTGCGACATCGTAGAACGATCACATACCTGAAGATGAACAGCAACATTCATCAACTACTATCAATTAATCTTCCAAAAATTATTAATGTCACAAAAAAACTGGTTCAAACTTAACCGCTTTACGTTCGAGGAATCACTTCTTTTTTGATCTTGCAATTTCGACGCGAGATTTAACAGATATGATAAAAAATGTAAATGAATTGTCAGCATCTCGAAGAAAGATCGATAACTTTTCGACCAATTTACGCTTAGTATTAGCACATCGGAGTGTAAGCAGGTGGTTAATTGAATGTTGGCGCCGAATATAATACAGGGGATAAGAAAAATTGATGATTCGAGTGGCGCGTAAAGTGTGGTGCAGGTGGGCGCGGTGTAAGGCCCTAACAATACCCACCTCCTGCGCATGTTGGGCAGTTCTGACTTACCTTTGAAACAAAACTTCTCAGCCCTACCCGTGCTCAAGATAATGAATAAAGATTAACAATACCTATTGTTAAGATGTTGCTTTAGTTAATTATTAATGTAGGAAAATAATTCATTTGGGTTATCTTGACTTCCCAAGACACGAGCTTTAATGACAAGTTTTTAAATTTTATGATGGAATTACGAGTCTTGCTTTGGTCAGGGTTAAAAGTGCCGCGACCACAACGGGAGTACCCATTGATGAAATACGATAATTTTCACAGTCGTTGCAAACCACGTAAATAACTTCACGGCAGTAAATCGTTCCATTTTTCCACTACTGATGATCCCTAATTCGAGGAGAAAATACAGCAATTAAAATTAATTATCTTGTCTAGGTCTACAAATGTTTCAACGGTTGTCACTCCTCATTTTCAATTACAGCTTTATATTTTTATAAGGGTTCTGGAAGCTTTTTACGTGTTTTGGATCAAAAGATTTGTAGGGGAGATACAAAGCGCCTATAAATCTGAAAGCAGGCTTGAGCATTTTCGTTTAACAAGGTGATAGGTATCTTCTCCTTGGCGTTATAATTTGGCACCATCAAAGCTAAATAGGGCACCAAAGTAAAAAGAATGGCCGACATAGTTGATGTTGACCGCGGCGCCTCTATACTGTCACATCGTCGACTAATAGTTAGTCACGCAGAACAATAGCACCTTTACTAATCTGAACGTTTTGTCGTCGAAGAAACGCTATTCGAAAGAATAGAGTTATGAGGGTCGTTTCATATACAACAGAAATCGATTAGACGTAGCCAAGACGACAAATCTCGAGAAATCATTAATAATTGTTCATTTCTCGACAACATCGTTTATTGTTTAAACAATTTTAGTGGGGGTTCTGGGAACGACCGTGATAGTCGGCAGTAAATGCAGGCAGTTTACGAGCCAAGATAAGAATCCAGAGGCGCCGGGGCCCAACATTGGTAGGTTGTTCGAAATCACTGTTCCACCAGATATCTCAACATCTGAAACCGATAAATCGTCCCAGTTTTCTCAGAGATTAACTTAATGTATTCCCGTAAAAGACGCTTTTTTAGTTCTTAATTAGTAGGTATTTACCGTTACGGAAGCTGGATACCAGCCCTTATCGTGCCGAAATTCCTTCTGCTCAACCCCTACCCTTGGCAACACCAAGACAAAATCTTTGCTAAAATTTGATGTTCCGTTCTAACTTTGACTACTAATAATATAAAACAACAAGACGGAAATAAATATTTATTCAAAATTAATTCTTATAAAAAAATAATCTCGAAATAAAAATTGTCTTCGCTAGCGCCGCTGTGATGCTTGCCTAAAATTTCTCCTATAGGACCTATCGTTGCTCTCATAGAACCTATCGCTTCTCTCATAGAACCTATTGCTTCTCTCGTAAAACCTATCGCTTCTCCCATAAGATCTATCGTTTTTATATCCGGTGCAATAATAATTATTATTCCGGTTATAACAGGGTGCCAAACGAGGTTCGGTTCGCCAGTTAGACACCGATTGTGCTGATGATAACGACGACGAGCTGTAAGGCTCATTTTGCCATATTCTTGGTTGACATAAAATATCTGACACATAATTGTTTCTTTCGATCTGATGTCCTCTAGCTGCTTGAAATTCTGTATAAAAAAGGTAAAAATGAACAATTTTCACAGAATTTTAGGTACAACACGTAGACAAATCATTTAAAAAGTGAGTTATGATTATGAATGCAAAATTAATAATTTCTCACGTTAGCAGCATAAATGAATGTTATTAATAAATGTTGTTATTAATTATGTCGGCAGCTCAGCAAGAGCGCATTTAAACTATTAATAATGTGAGAGAAATTGCGTTATCGCTTGTCCGTAATCTGTATCAAATTTTTAATAATACATTTTACAACATAAACACAAAATCTACTTACTGTTTATCGCCTCCTGGGGATCAATTTTCATTCGTAACACCATGTATTTACAGATTAAATAGCCCGTTCGGTTCAACCCATGAGTACAATGAACTCCGATGAGTGCATCTGCAAACAAACTCAATAAACTGGCCAATAGTCAAATAAATATTACGACATTGTCAATACAAGTCTTAGTTATCGTCATTCCATCCCAAAAAAAAAAGTTACAGTTGTCTACCCCACCCCACAATCCATTTTCCTCCTATCTACCAATGCAAACTTCACACGTTCAATTAACATCCTCGAATTATATAATAAGTGTGATGTATACAAATTAAGTTTGACATGCTGGGCCCCCCAAAGAGGTCCTTCAAAAAGTTGCCGACAAACGATCGCTTCGATATCGAACCTGATCATTGATAGCACAGAGGGGTGCCCTGTTTAACTGTCAGTTACTGGTGCATTTATTACCGTTTACTGTTGTACTTTACCGTTAGATCTACATCATTGCTGTTTGACTGATCAAAATCGAAATTTATATGTGATTGATTACATCTAAGACACAATGTAATAAATAATACATCTGGTAAACAAAAGATTCTAGTGAGAAAATTTAAGCCATTCATTTGTGTTTAAAACAAAACAAAAATTCCATAGCTACAAATATTCTTCCATTAAAAAAATAGGAGAAATTTAGGTATCATAGTTAATCATAGTGATAACAAAATATTTCCAGCATATTGTGTAATAAATGAGTTTATAATTTATTGTACTGATTACAAATCTTCTAAATTTTGGAAAAATAATCCAGTTTGTTCCAATATTGTTTATAGAGTCCGACAAAGAAAACTTCTGTCACACTAAAGTTGATAGAGACATTAGCAAAACAAGGTTATCTAATAATCCACCTAAATCAGTAAAATATACATCACATTCCTACGTTCAGTGGAATTTCCCACAAGTTTTAGTAGGTATAAACAATGACACAAGTTGATTAAAAAATGAATTATGTACTTTTTTAGTTAACCTAGAAAACTAAAAATAAATAATTTTAAATTAGGACAATCGAGATAATCACTTTCGAAGGTCAATATTTTTTATAATTTCATTTGATTTTCAAATTTTGATAGACTGTTTCTATTGAGTTTGAAACTAATTTTTAGGGAAGGTTTTCATAAGTAATTCACGCCTAATTCAATGACCTAAATAGAGATTATTATTCATAAGCTACGTGAACTCTAAACAATACTACCATTATATTACACCATACCATTTCGAGTAAACAAAAAAGATGTATCCTGTTTTCACCCAAAAATTTAAAAATTACTGATACAATTCGATAAATATAATCCGCAAGCAAATATTTCGACATAAAGATTCTTATTAGTGGAATGTTTTATGGTCTATACAATTTCCAATCTGATATGAAAAGTGGCACACATGCGAGGAATCGATTTCAAATAGATCATAACTCAAAAAAATAAACAACGAATTCAATGAATAATTATTGTGGAGCCATATAGACGTATTATAACCTCCTCATCCATCTTTCTTAGACTTGGCACTCCCAATTATAATATGTTTGTCGAACTTCTTTAGATTTGAAAGAGGGTGAATAACGTTTTGCTTACAATGACAGTCAAGTGAAATAATTACAAAATTGCTGCTATCTCGTGTGCTGGACGTGTGCAAAAAGACTTGAGAATCTCATAGCAGTTTCAGTTTTAATAGTGTAATAAATCCTGTATTGATATAAGTACGTCATAGACATTATTATTCATTGTGTGAAGATGTAATCTGAATGCTATACGTAGACTGAAAAACAGAATTGAAAGTCCGACACTCTTCCATGTGAAAGAAGTACTCGTACTCGAGATACGATTAACGTCAGCTGGTGTAATGCCAGAAGATAATCCGTAAAGATTGCATTCATATAATGAGCAATTAAATGATGGATCGTTGCCCTTTTCATAATCAGTCCGTTGAAGACTCTAGGGGATTAAAACATCCATCGGTGTACGTGCATAAGAATGCGTTATGCACACACAATGTACCGAACGCTAAAGAAACACTAAACTTGATAAAGCTCTTAGATAATTAGAGAGTAGAAAGATAAGTAAGTGTCCAGTCCGCCTACGTGAATTCTTACCATCGACTCCAAATGAAACGTAGTTAAAATTTGAAAAATGTATAGACAGCGTTTCGGTTGCCGCTCGATGAACAGCTACCTTGGAAGCTTTTTATGTATCCAGAAGTGACTACCAGCAAACAGACAATGAATTAAAATTCTTAGAAACTCATACACTTGTGGTGATTATTTATGTTGCGCCTCGCTATGCCTTGAAATATTGAAAATGATCTTATCTACTCGATCGTAGCAGCGAGCAGACGGCCAAAACCTCAATAACACCGATGATGGACATCAAGCGAACATTCGTGCACAGAAAACTCACCAAAACACATCAGTCTTCCCCAATTGACATACAAAAGCACAATTTACTAAATGTTATAATTCCATATAATTTTAGCTGAACTAAATAACCGCCGAGAAAGCACATTAAGCTCAAGTTCGGCGCTTACCACAACCAAAGCTATTAATAAGATATAATGAGCCATTAAATAAATTCACTCGCGGATAATTGAACGTACACAGAGAATTATATTTTGACAAAATTAGTTTCACCTTACAGATAAATATGAAATATTATAATTACAAAGAGCCCTACGGTCATCGTAAGTAATAAAGCTGAAGAAACAACAATTGAAAAGAGACGTTGTAAAGCAGCAGATATCCATAAGTCACTTTTGACAGAAATAAATAAACAAAAACGAGCCAATTATCCAATTTTTCTTAATTTATTTACATATTGCAAGTTCAATTGTTTAATTTCTAAGTTGAATCATAATCATAAAGCGGTCGAAATAATTTCCCCTCCAAATTTTGGAATGTGTTAAAAAAAACAATAACAATTAACAAAATTATTCTAAGATTGAACTTTCCCGAATACGTATTATTTTTTAGTGAAGAATCACGTTATCAAAGAAAGTTATCAAAAAATTCTTGTTTTTTTTTGTATTTTCATAAATTATTTTGAGTAGAATCGATCTTTTCGGAAATTATTAATAGCAAATCTTCAATCATTTTGTTCAATAAAATACCATACCTCTATCGTGTTCCAACATTCTACACAGCTGGTCTACGGCATCGAAAAACCTGAAATAAAACAGAGAAACACGATCAGCATGGTTCCTACGATCTTACGGCGTTTGTGGACAAACAAAAACCCTTCCGCAGCATTATCCGTCACGACGGGGTATTAAAACGTTCGCGCCTCTCCCTATTTTACATCATAATGGGGTAGTAAATTTACTATATTTCGCAAATTATCGAAGAAATGACACTAAGATATTCAAATTGGTTCTGAAAGCGGCTTGATGAACTGTCATTAAGAAAGACATCGCTTTTGATTCAAAGAAGAAAAAAATATTTTGCTGCACGCATCATTCCCAATCATAAAAAAACGAGACAATAAAATTCATCAGAGTTCAAAAGCGTTTAGCTAAATTTCATAATGACTAAGCAAGATAAATGGTGGCTATATAAAATTAGATCTTCTCTGACGTCTCTATTAAAAAGCAATTCTGTATTAAACCTATTAGTAGCTGACGTCGGCACTGCCCCATAAACAGCCCACACTAAACCACCCCATTAGTTTTATCGTCACGGCTATTTAGCAGTCTAATAAATGATTAATTTACGAATTGCTCACAATAGTACGAAAATTTTGAATTAAATCACGTATAGATGTAAAATTCTTCAGGTAACAAACTTCAACAATACTTCGCATAACGTAATCGATTTAAAAATATTAATTTTCTACGAATTAATAAGTAGTGCCTACGTAAGTCAGGAACACTTGAAAAATGTCAACAGACGCAGTTTGTGGGCAGATAGGTATAGCTTATCGCGCATTATTTTCCATAGAATTTCCATCACTTGAGAAACTCTTAAACAAATCATTTCATTCAAAAAGGTATCATTAGCCCTCAAATCACCTTAATAAAAAGTTCCGTTATAATTAAATTAACAAACTATCACCATTTTTCCACTTCACACATGTAATATTTCCTGTCAGACACCATTTTGCTCGGTGCTAATGAGTTTCATAATTCCTCCGAGTGAAATTCATTCCCTTTGTGGCTGGCTTGAACCGCAAAAGGTCCATTAATTTGAAACCGGCGCGTTTTAGCTAATGTCCGAAATAAACGATTCCAATGAATCAATCTAAAGCGATACATCATTTTTGAATCGAAAAATAAAAAACGGCGTCGATGAAAACGGCCAAGACCCTTGCCGGAATTCAATTAAAAGAAAGTTTTTAAAGAAATTCGGGTCCTGATATCGTGGCGTGGTATCGCCAGCCGTCTAACAAATTACTTCATAATGAACGAATAGGCATTATACCTTTTCCAGGTGTCATAACCGTCAAGATTCATTAGGTATCTTGTGGAAAATACTAATTATGAGCCAAGTGCTAGCCAACATGCAACCAGCATGTAAACATTGTAATTCCATGCAAACGCTAGACTGCATACAGGGCAATATATTCAAATGGATTACGCGACTTGCGTAAGTTCGTAACACTGCACAAAAAGGCACTACAAAAGAGATGCGACTACATAAAAAGACGATAAAAACGTCTACTTCGGTATGCGGTTAATTTATTTTAAAGAAAGCGTGATTTCTCCATAAGGTAATAATAAATTCTGTTGGTAAATAAATAATGGAACAGGGAGAGTTGATAGAACATTGAAACGAGGGTGTGTTTCGGGTACATTGTGTTCAATGACCATATGTTAATGGGTTGTTAGAGAGAATGAGGTGCTGCAAGGTGGTAATGATAGCATTATGTAAATGGGTACATCAAAAGCTAGACGTCTATGAATGGCTAAGTAAATGCCTTTTAAGTTCTAAATTACGTGATAACCGAATCTAAAAATATGTTTATACTGATTGTCATTTAAATTGTACACGAATTTTATCAGTTTTATGATATTTATAAACTACAAAGTAAAACCATATGAAATTTTTGATTGACGTACAGTTTCAATTTTTAAATAAGCCTATTTCGTTTAGATAACAATCACAGATTGTTGATTAATTTTACGCATTTAAATTTCAATAGACAGCTGTCGCAAAATTTGATAATTCAATTGTAATTTATCACATGTGGTACCCATAAGTCATTAAGATGATTTTTGCTCTAGATTTGAATTCGGAGAGACATTTCAATTAGAACAGCTTTCTCGTATCAAAAACCTTCATCGCCGGTTTCATCAAGTTCTACTTATAATAAAATGAGCTTTTATTAATCCCTTGTCATAAATATCACATTATTGATAACTTGATAAGTATGAAGCATTTGTTTGAAAGAAATTATTTATTAATTCCAAACAAGTTTTCAGCGTCCCCCACTTAATGACATCAAAAGCTTTTCTTAATTCATCCGGTTATTCCAATGAGATCATAATATTTACTAAAATCATTTAACTGTCTTGTAAACAATTAATTATAGTTGTAATTTGATACCAAATTTATCACCTATTGCATACAAACTTATTTTTAATGGAATTATTCATAGTGAATTTAGCAGTACTTCATTCAAATTCTTATATTCTATCATCCCAAGTGCTGGGATAAAACGGTGATAGCATTCATATAAATCGCGGTAAGATCGCTTATACGGCGATTCTAACTTCCCGTACTTGGAGACGATAATAAAATTCCGAATAGAACCGTGTTGTCTGGGTCTACGACATTGTTTGTCGGAAGTGACTCTGAACCACCTATCTATCACCGGTTAAAACTTTGTGGTCCGTAAATGTAGGAATATGCAAAGGGAGAGACAAGAAATACACTTACTCCTCACGAATTTCCTTAGGCGGAAGCTTGCGACCCATCACACTGATTTTCCTATACAAAATGCCTTTGCCCGTAAACTCCTGAAAAAAACACATTATTAACGTCAACAAAAAATTAATTAAATCTGAATTAAATAATAAGATAGACAGAACTCAAACTTTAATCTCATTCTGTGACAACTCGATTCACTAACTGTCGTGTAACAAAAGCAAGCATAGTGTATACAAAAGTCCAGTTAAAGAAAAAAGAAAGTGAGTCGCGTTCGATTTCGTTAATTGCTTATGAATATGCATATACGAGAGATTACAAATAAAAATATCACTCGAATACAGGCTATAAACCAATTAGTTCTATCTCGATATGTCTGGAACAGATGAAAGCCGATTTTGTAAGGAGAGCACTGATAGTTCGGTGAGGGGATAATAACCTGATCTGGGAGGAATTATTCATTAAGGAGACAAGAAACTAAGAACAATTGAAAGACGCTGTCAACTGGACCATTGTGTTTTGGAAAATTCTTGAACTAAAATACAGGTTGGGCAAAAGTAAAAAAAAGGGTTTAACAATGTTAGAGACCTTTTAAATCGTATTTATGAATTAATTTACTGGCTAACTACAGGGTAATAATAAACAAATAGCACTTTCACAGGTAAAATATAAAAACTAGAAGTCAATAGACTACATCAAAAGAGATAAAAATTAGTAAAAGAATGGCCAAAGGTATGCATGCCCTACACATTGGTAAGATGTTTATGTATTTATTAGAAAATTAGGTAATTTATATTTAATCACGCAGATAAGACTGTACAAATGAAAATTTTTAAAGAGCACTCTTTAGTGGTGTCATTAGAGTGAAGTTGAGTGACAATTTAGATTACATAACATTAAAACAGTCGGATTGGTACCAATTATCCTGTGAGATAAATATTATGGAAAAACTATTCTTCTAAGAAAATTACCTCAGCGTTGTAGTAACGGTTCGTGTTGGTCAAATCGATCACGGCTTTTAGCTTTGGAATGTTTTCCACCAGTATTCCGGGGGTAAACCTGTAAGGAAATTGTAGCGATTAGTGAATTTATTTGCCGGTTCTGGTACAAAAAAACAGACGCTTATCTTTCCATTAGTTTGTATAATCCGCAAGCATGCATATAAATAACCTAATCAAAGTATGCTTTCACTAACTACCGCGATGCTTTATGGCTTGGACTTGAAAACTGGATGCGAATATTTGCTGTCATTTACCTTTTTAATTTAGCAAGTCGTGTCGCTGGATTAAAAGCAATTACATCGATGTCAATATTCGACTTTTAAATAAACATAAATTAATTTATATATAAGATAAAGCTCGCAGAACGAGAATTAATCTCGTCTCGGATTTTTGTTAAAGCTGTAATCGTTTAGCGTAATTAATGTCCAGCGATTACGCTATGTTATACATTGTCGTTAGAAACCTACGATTTATTATTTGTCATCTTATAACATGAAGAGTCGTTTTAATTACAACCAGCAGGTGCTCATGCAAACATTCCATGATTTATCCTTTTTTTAAGTATACCCCCTGTGAAAATTCAAATCGCCACTAATTGGTCCCGGAATCGACATCAATCATCCCTTCTTTAATTCAAAGTCGGTTGTAATTATTTTTTACAATGCTGGTTAACGTTCTAATAATGAGCCGCTGATGAGAAGACAAATAGCTTGTTAGCAGTTCCGCTACAGCTAATTTATCAATTTGAACGGGGGCTGTGCCGACTGCCGACACACGCCCGCGCTGGTGTTTACATTTCTGTTCAAACGGCTGTAATAATCTCAAAACAATAACAACAACAGCATTCCCACAGGTGCCAAAAACTGACACAAACTAAACCATGGCTTATTCTTAGTGTTTTGATTTAGAATCCCTTTTTACACAAAAAATATGAACGATTAGAAAAATTAATACAATATACGAGTACATTTTGTAGGGGTATATTTTTTGCACTTTGTTGTTGTTGTTTACAGGGATTGGAGTGGATCATTTATTACCTAGGAAATAAATACACTTCCGGGGCTAAAATTGAAATCTGTTTACAGGGATTAAATACAAATTTGTCACATTGACACGAACAAATTTGGAAATATTTTACATAAAAAATAAATGCTTTAGAAGTGCAAAAAATAGCGTATATACCTCGGGACTAAAGTGCCTAAATCCCTTGGGTGGTTGTTGCCCTCGGGCTTCGCCCTCGAGGCACCAAACTCCACTCGCGGCATTAAATAGTGCACTTTAGTGTCTCTATAATAATACACAGGATGTTGTTCCTTGAAAGGGAGTAATTAGGTAGTCCTCCAGAGTACTGAAAAAATGTTTAAAAAATTCTAACTGTCAAAAAATTTTGACATATGATTTTTTATCATGTCTATTTAATGACACTTATGATATTGTATATGTTTTTTTACAAGTACTTTTTAGTAAAATTACGAAAATTTTGCCAATAAAAGCCGCAAATAACAGTAAACAGAGTTACAATTTAGGATAGAGCTTCCTTGTATCCTCTTCTAATAGCCTGTGGCAAAAAAAATATTTTTCCAACAGTAGGTAATAAATAGAGTCGAACGACAAAATTTAAACTCTCATAACTTCGGAATTTTTAGTGATTTTTAGTGATTTTTTTTAACATTTTTCTTGTTGTCTAGGGCACCGCCCGATGACACAGTGTGCTCGATTTTTTGAACAGCCTCTATAATATACTATATAAAATACTATTAACCCAGCGAAAATTACAAAAAAGTTTTACAATCTTTTTGACACTAAAGAATAGTTTTGAAAGTACATAGAACAATATAATTTCAATATTTTAGTAGAAACTTACCACTGGCTTTCAGGCTGCCTACTACATAGCTCCTAGAACAAAAAAAACATAAAAAAGTACTTAATAAAAAAGTCAGAAAAAACTTCAATCCAATTCTATCGTATTTTGGCTCTTATTAGATAACGTGCATAAGTATTTGAGAAAACTCCTGGTAAATGTTTTCCCCATGTCGGCGAGGAGAATTTAAGAGTATGGCAAAAAAGCAATTAAAAGAGGTCGAACATTAGCCAAAACTCGTTGCATCATAATTAAATACAATGTAAAACAGAATAGTTATAGCGTTCATATACGAAAATTGATGTATTAACTTGGTCTCATTTAATTTAGTATCGGCTAAATAATGGCGGACCACCCAGAACAGTAATGTAAGGCAACCGTCGAATGAATTGTTTCTCACTCGCAAAACTTATTAAGATTGGCATGTCGTCCGTTTTCGGTTAAAATTGTACCACATTCCACAATCTAGCACCCGATAACCGATCAAATCATCAAAACTCCAATATTTTGAAATGTATCCTTGCAAAACACACCCATATGGTAACTTTTCTGGCAGCATTTTAACGTATGAATCATCATCCATGGGATTGTAAAATTAATTTATGAGTCTGCCAAAAGTTAACGAGTTTAAATTAATATTACTATTCTTTTTCATTTAGGGCAGACATTGTTGGGATGTATGGAACAGCGGCGGAGGACGCTGCTGCTGTTATAATAATGTAAGTGGGAGTACATCAGGACAGGGTGTGTAAACACTGCTCTTCAGACTGTTTAGTAAACAGCAGCAAGGTACAGATGAGACCACACCGCCGTTTTTAAACATAGGTTTCATATTACTGACTGATGGTTGATGATGAAACGGCAACTTCGGAACATGTAAACAACAATTAAACGAAACAAGAATAGTGTTATGGGAGTATGAGAACCCCGATTGAATTAGGTCAAATGTGACAAGATTATATTTTTGAACATCACATTTTTTATATACGTGAGCGTTGGAATGTTTTCCACCTAACCAATTAAATTTAAATAATGATATTATTGTTATTATCCTTTTAAATAGTTTGATATCGATTCGCAATCTGATGGAATAATAGACGCTGATAATGACAAAAACATGCTTTTTGTAATAAGAGTTGAAAATAACTTGTTTACACCAAACCTTTAAACATGAGTTACTCAATAATTCTCTTGGCAATAACATTTATATCTTAACAGAAATGTCATTCGGAAATCAAAAATCAGGATTCCAAAGTACTGACAATAGCTAATAAATATGTCTGAGAATAACTCAAATTATACACCTCGAGGTTATTTCTGTAAATTTCAACCATGTGGTAAGAAGATTTTGTAATTAGTTAGTTTTAGGAACAGAATTTTTTAACAAGCTTCAATGCCAGAAGACATACGACCCCCCTTGATAAGATTTTTATCTCGTAGCTGGTACGATATGTTTGCCCTTATTTCCATCGTTTGTAAAGTGATTAAATCCGCTTTTTACTACAGAGCGGCGCACCGAGTATGTCATTTTATTTTTTACATCGGCAATAAATATTATTTAATGTTGTTGCAATATGTGAGAGTTGTGGCGCTGAACTGCTGAGCCGTATTTGGAAAGACGAGTCTCTGGGAAGATGGGTCCAGCAACCCACACTAGCAGCTACAGGCCAAAGGACAACAGAACTGCAATCGTATTATCGAGTTAAAGGCGAGCGTTAATTTTATTAATAATTTCATTACTTAACCCATATTACACGCTTAATTAAAGACCAATCGTAAACGGTCGTGTTTATTGACCAGAAAATGGCACTATGACCGAAAGTTAAACGTGGTTTATTATCTTAAAGAGAAACTTTTTGAATAATTACGAGCACTCCACTTAAATATTGCTCGCTCCTTTTTATGTTGCCCACCAGTGAAATGATTTATTTCCCACGGAGTTCCTGAAACTGATTCCAGTTCGCAAGACGTCGAATCCTGACAAGCTTTTAGCTTCTGCCGTACGATACATTACTTTAAATAATTTAACCAGCACTTAACACAACGCCGGCTTTACCGCGGACTTAATTCAATTTGTTGGGAAAATCGATAGCTCCATTATCTTCCCAAAGTAGACAAATCTTTCCTTTTGAATACACTTCAAACAACTACGTCCCACGTCTTACGTCAATCGAAAAATTCTGTTTCATTAGATAATGAACTCGCCTCGTAAAAATTTGAAGTATGTAATTTGATGTCGATTCTATTTATTTCTATTTTATTGTTATTAGCAATTTTGTGTTTATAAATATAGAGTTAAACATGCCTAGTAAAACTAAATCGTGGCAAAAAGTACATTTTTAAATGATGTTGTTGGATTATTTATTTTTCAGACTTTTTTTATAGATAAAACTAAAACAACCAGAGAAAGCAAAAAAAAAAATTTGTCTCGATTCCTTAAAATGTTGAAATCTTGTTGCAGTATATAGGGTGTGTCAGAAAAAAATGTCAAGCAAGATAAGATACCACAAATATTTAAAAAAAAATTATCTGTCAAAATTTTAAATAAAATAATTAATTTTCTTTTTATTTAGTCCAAAAATTCTGCCAATAATAGCCACAAATAACATTAAAGAGAGTTACAATTTAGGATACAGATTCCTTGTTTCTTCTTCCAATAGCCTATAGAAAAAAAAACTTGAAAACTTCCAACAGAAATAAATAGCGTCAAAGTGCGAAAATTTAGTTCTGGGGCACCCTGTATATTAATTTTTGCTAATTCTTGTATATTATTACTTTACTAGTCAGCACACAATATATACGGGTCAATAAAAAATATAGAACCAATCGTTTCTTTTTTTATTTTTGCCCTTAAAAAAACATGTGCGATAAAAATTGTGATCACGTTTTGAAAATAAAATTTTGTTTTGTTTTTAAGTTATCTAAATACCTTGACATTTTAACTTTTTTTAATATTCCTTATAAAGAAGACAGAATCCCTAAAAGTTTTGTGTCCTACAGAAATATGTAGATAATTAAATTTAATCTGACAGAAGATAAAAAAATTAAAATTTTACGGAAAAATATCAGTGTGGAAATGAAAAAACAAATCTAATTTATTAACTGGCAATGAAATAACTTACTTTTTGTTAAAAACAAAAGAAAAACGTAGAAATTGTTACTTTTTGAATATATTTTTAAAAACAGTACCTACAAAATCTGTGAAATATTTGTTTTTTAAATATACCTTTAAAAACAGGACAAGATCCCTAAAAAAAAGTGTGGTGTTCTGCAGGGGACTTACGTAGTAACCATTATTTATTTTCCAAATTTTTGTTATTAGTTAATTTAATTAATTTTCTTTCGTTTCTAAAAAACTGGTAAAATCACCTTTTCTTTTTTCACAATAATAAAAAAAATAAAACAAAAAGTGATACAAAACCGCAAAATAACGTAAAGTCTGTTTTTTTTTTAAATGGAAATTACCAAGTCAAAATTTTGGTGAAAAAATTGGTAGCACTCCATAGCCACAAATTTTGTTTGCTCTTTGTTTTTGTCCCTAGAAATTTTGTTAAAAAATTATGGTTATGCGTTCAAATTGAGATGTTGTCAAAATTTTGACTTTTAAGAATCTTATGTGCCTGTTTGCTCTTTGAAAGCGCTATAATTGAATACCTGAGGACAGGCATCATTACCTAAGGTCTAAAGACAGAATTCAGTGCTAATAATTTTGACAGAAACACACCGCAAGTAAGTACAATGTTGTGGACAAAAATGAGATTCTTGCTACAAAAACTTTGAAAAAAAAAGGATGTATACACAGAAAAAGTTATTTAGCAAAAGATACAAGTGGGTATTATGATGATTGGCAATAAATTTTATGTAATTTATTGAAATGAGCTCAAAGTTGATTCTTCTTCAGGTTTAGTTTCAAAATTTTTACTTTTTCAACTCGTTCGTCAAAAACGATGCACAAGACACTAATTTAATGGCGTTCTTTCCGAGGTTCTTTCTCATTCATGTTCATTTTGTATTCTTGTCAATTTTTTGCTAAAAATTAAGAATGTTTAGCAAACCTGCATTACAAATTGCGTCTACATTTTAACGGGTCCTTTTTCTAACTTCCTGCTTTGTGCTATTCGTTTCCAAATTTCGAAAAACTGTTAGTGTACCGAATTTGTTTCTTTTTTGTTGTTTGTGTTTCATCTCTAAATTTTCTTAGACGATTTTTTGTGTTGACGTTTAATGACATTGTTTTCAAATTAATTCAAAAAACCGGAACTGCCAACTTCCTTTATTAAAATTACCATGAATGAATTTACTAGTGATGTCAACGTTAAGACTGTTTGGCATTTCCATTTAAAAAAAAAAAACAGACTTTAGGGTCCTAAAGTTTTGGGAATTTTTTTAGATGGTTTTTATTTATATCTACCAAGTAATGCCTAAACAGGTTGTTTCTGGAAATAAAATATGACAATTATCTTGTTTATGTTAAGGCAGTTTAGTTGTTTCAATCGGGTTTTCAAAAATGTCTTATAAGTTAGATATTCGTTAAGGCATTTACAATCTATCTAGTTGGGCGAATGCCTAAACGTGAAATTGTTGCACTTTACAGAGAACAAAATATTTCTGTAACAACAATTTATCGGACCATAAAAAAATGTGTAGAGTGTATACCTCGTGTTAATGTGTCCAAAAGTCCTCGACCCAAAATTTTGGGGTAACAAAGAATAATTGAAGCTATTAAAAAAAAGTTGGAGTTTCACAACGAAAATTCGCTGTTTCAAAGACCATTCGTATTCAAAGATATCGTTCCAAACTCAATGAAGTTATAAATACACATCATGCCAATGATGATGTAATGTTTTGGTCTGATTTGCCTTCATGCCACAATGGTAGAGAAGCTACAAAATGGCTTAACGAAAACAATATAAATTTTGTACCTAAAATAGACAATCCTCCGAATGTACCTCAGACTCGATTAAAGAGTTTTGGACAATATTGAACTTGAAAAGTGTGCAACAAGAGATAGGAGGTAAAAAATGAGAAATAATTGCGACGTCGAATTTGTTTAAAGCTTAGAGAAATCGATTCTGCTCTTGTCCAGAGAAGAATGGAGCAAATCAGCAGAAAATTGAGAGCCATTGAAGATAATGGCGAACTACCAGTAATTTAATTATGGATTATTTATTGTTTTTTTATATTATCAATTGTTATTACATTTGGTTTAAAAACAAACAAGTTTTGAAAAAGTTATAAACATCTAAAAAAAATCCAAAAACTTTAGGACCAAACGTTAAAACTTTAAAGAATAAGTAGTGTTGCCCCAATTTTTGGTCGATGTTTATAACACAAAAATATTAATATATTCCTACAGATAGATGGTATTAAATCAATTTTATAATGACATAAATTTCATCAGATTTTAGTACACATAACCGATTTGAAAAAACATATGGCATGACGCTCGTATGTGGTCTAGAAGCAATAAAAATCATGAATGTAAATAACTGTTTGACAATTGATATCCAAATTTGACCAACTCCAACTGTTAATTGCTGAAAAACACATAAATATCCTTGCGGTACCTACCATTTCGCTTGTGAAGGTTTGTCGTTTCATAGACTAACAGCAACCGAGAAATAGAGAATCCAGAGTAATTTTTCTTGTCACCTGAACGATATAAAACAAGTCCCACTGCAGCTGTCAATTTGAAAATTTATCGCTTGCAATTATTTAGGTATGGGCAAAAACTACCCCCATTCACTTTAGTAAATTAGTCTCGTGTTCTTGTGAAAAATATCTGGGTAATTATTTTTATCCACAGTTTGAAAATAGGCGTGTTCATAAAATTTCTTGACACGCCTTATAAATAACGAGAAGCTGTTTATAGGTACATTATTGACGCTAAGCCGATTAGATTTTTATGTTTGTTTCACGGTAATTATCTTTACCTCTCGGAACAAAAAACAAACACAAGACAAGCTTGCAAAGGTTGCATTTTCATTTCACTTGGCGAAGACTTCCCACAGGGCCAAGAATGTAAATCAAGAACGCACCCCATGCTACGACCCAGAATGGTTTTGAATTTTATTTTATTTACCGAACGATTTTCAGCGGCGCGGCGCTTTTGTTTTATTAAACAGCCGCTTTAAAACATTATAAATATTCATTACCTCTGAAACGATACTAAGCACCATAACTCTTCCTCCCGTTAATCATAATTTTTGCTGAAACCGTTAATTAATTATTACTTTTTACCATATTCCCTTTCACTAAACCGACTGTGATTTAATGAAACGCAAATTATAATTTACTATTGTTAATGTAGTAATACATTTTTTCCAGATTTTGGATATGGGTAGAAAAGTCAAGGGACACGACCACACACACCTCAGGTAAAATTTCTCTACAATTATTTATAACAGAAAAATAATAATAAGTCACTTATACATTGCAAGTGTCATTGTAGACTTCCGGTTGAAAAAAAAAACATTTGGGTCTGAACCACTTCGATCTCAATTTTCAGGTAGGTGTAGACATAACGGTGTGAAGTCCCTATTGTCTGGTATTTTCAATTAGAAATTTAAATAATACCTGCAGTTAATTAAAAATCAATTAAAGCGCCACCCTCGAAAGAAATAAATTAAATTCTTCATCAAAGCCTAAAATTCGAACTTATTACCGGTAAAACGTAGATTTACGACAGAGAAGATGCACCAGGCGGTAAGGTATGGTAAATCGGACAGCTGAAGAAGTTATTGCATCCCTCCAGTACGAAACAACGTTGTCTACCTTTGCGTCGGTTGTCTTTTGAAAGCCCTACGAAAAGAATAGATGACGTTCGAATACCCGCTGTGCCACAAAGACCCAACAAATTTTCGGCAGAATTTTAGTCGCGTTCCTCCACCCTGCTGGGATGGAATGCCCGTTGAAGCGTTTCAAATATCCCACCTCCCTCGAATCCGTGAACTATAATTACAAATCTAACCGAAACTCATCATGATTTTGCCAAGTAACAATGCCATGTAACTGTTAAATCAAATATACAGTGTGTGTTTCATAGTTTTTAATTATTTCCAAAATACAGAAACAAAAACAGTTGTATATCTGACCAATTTAACTTTTTCAGAAGACTGAAAAAATATTTTGATTGAGGTGAGTGTGAGAATCGCTTGGCTTGAAGAAATGGGACCACCAGGAGTTTCACTGTGCGAAGAACCGTTGGCACATCTCACGTTGGTCGGGCATCCATCACGCGACAAGTGGATCTGGCGATGATTACTAAAGACCACACGGCGTGATTCGTCCAAGACACACATCCATCAAGTATATCGTCAATGATGGTCCAGCATCAGACCACTCCCTGTTCACAATAATGATGCTGTCAGTCGCAGTACGCAAGTGGAAAATGAAGATGTCGCAATGTCATGGAACGGTAGCACAGCGAATTCCATCTCGAACACGATTGCTATCTCCGGAGAAAACACGAGCACAGACTAGACAAACGTGAGAGATGTTACACGGATAAAGAAATTATTAACAGCCCAGAGATTTGATACACTTGCTTGTTCTTTATCTTCTTAAGCATGTGTGTCAGATACGAGCTCAGGGCAACTGCTCGGAACTCTTAAAACAAAAGATAGATGAGATATGTAGAGTACTTCTGTTAAATTCCTAGCTCGAAAGATATTGAAACGTTCCGCCTGGATAATGAAATGAAAATTTACGACCACGGCTAATAGGTTACACCAAATAAATAGATTTGAAAATGTTGCTCTTGCTTGGATCAGCATTGCACCGCCATCGTTAAAATTTCTACATCCGTAATTCCTCTCCATTCACTATCGTCACAAATTCAAGTGAAATACTTTATGAATAAGGTATGCATCAAAGCAAGAGATGTTTAAGCAAATTCACAGTTAAAAGCACCCCATGGATCTATATTTCGGAACTTGTGCACCCCCGATCAGTGGGGATTTATAGTATGGTAATATATGTTAATTTAATGTGCGGTAACTTGTTACAATCCAAACAGGACATTTAGATCACGACCATTTAAGTTTTATTTATTTTATGATATAATTCATCGTTTCTATTATGCACCTAAAATGACAGATTTATTCAACGGAAGTTGGTAAGAACTAGAAACATAAATCTTCTCCATGTCACTAGAAAGAAAGCAAAAATCCCGATCCTATATTGTAAACGTCTGTCTAATAAATTAATATTTTGATAATATCAGTTAATAAATGAAAATAGCTTTATTTCTAAAATTAATAAAAATAAATTTACAAAATAATCGTTTGCATATCTTTCCCACATTTATTCCCTTAAAAACTCAATAAACTGTTAAATATACAGGCTGCGCCAGAACTCGCGCCCCAGAGAAAAAATTCAAGTAAGATAAGATACCAGGAACATGAAAAAATTGTTTAAAATATTCTATCTGTCAAAATATTTTGACATATTTTTTGACATTTGACATTTTTTCATGTCTATTTAATGATATTGATGATCTTGTATATGTTTTTTTTTAGAATTATTTAGTAAAGGTACAAAAATTTTGTCAATAAAAGCCACAAATAACATTGAACAGAGTTACAATTTGGGAAACTGGTTCCTTGTTTCCTCTTCTAATAGACTGTAGCAAAAAAACTTAGAAAATAATTTTTCCAACAGAAACAAATAGTCAAAGTGCAAAATTTAAACTCTCATAACTTCTAAATTTTTATAGATAATTTTTTTTAACATTTTTTCCATGTTCCTGGTATCTTACCTTACATGGCATTTTTCTCTGGGGTGCGAATTCTGGCGCACCCTGTCAAATTAACATTAAAAGAGAATTAAGTCTTATTACGTTGCACAAATAAAAAAGACACCTTTGAGAAAAATAGATTAGGTCATAAATGTTGATTCAGATAACTATTGCCTAGGTTATTTAGAAACATGAAAAAAGTTAAAAAAAGTAGATATTATTTCACTCTTTTATATTAATTTTCAAAAGTAGTAGCAACAATCCTCAAAGACAACAAAATATATGCATAACAAGCAAAAATAAAAACAGAGATTCTACCAATTTTCCTAGAAAAATATAATGTCTCTCGACACGAAATTTCTATTTGCCTTTATGAAAAATATCACTAATTTGGCGTATTTGTCAAATTTTTAATGTTACAATTTGCGCATATAAAATTACTGATGTATATCTTGAATTAGCCAAGCTCTACCATCAAGTTCGCAATGATTAATTTTGTTTGTTTATTTTCTTTTAATTAGCTCTACACATACAAAATTTTAATAAGACACTATATTCTATCACTTGCGATGTATGAGGGTAGCTATAATTATTATCAGTAAGAAAACGTCGTGTATGTAGCTTGTCAGTATACCTTTATTTGCATAAGCGTGAACAGAGTCTTTATGTGGCTACTTGATGATCCATCAGTTGCTTTGAATCTCCTTGATCATTTACAACGACTAGGTCTCGAGTATTGAGAACTAATTATAGGTCAGATTCGTAGCGTTCCAGTTGTTGGTTACAGAAAGTTCGATATTGAGCTGTAGAGGGAAAAGGAACTACACGTTAGGGTAAGGAGGAGCAAAAATAAGCTGCGAAGTGAAAATCTATAAATTCACGTCGGTTGACATTTTGATAAAATACTTATTTACGATAATAATGTAATGTGATATCCCAAGTCTGCACATGGATATTGGATATGAATTTATTCGTTGCCACGAGACGTTTTTACACCTCGACTTGCATCTATTTAAATAATTATACGCTATTTGTCAAGACCATAATACATTCTAATATTTACAACCTACTCGAAAAACCAGTTGTAATTATTTACTATTTGGCGTAGTGTATAATGGATTGTTGGCAAGTCTGCTTGCATGCGCCAACGACAGGAGTAAAATCGGCGGTCTTTCTTCCCTCGATGCATCTCGATTAGAGTATAATAACTCGTTAAAACCGGATCAGGTTTCTTGTGATGTCGTCGGGTAATTGGTAATGTCTTTACTCCCCATACCAAGTGTCCGAGTGAAATGTGGTTCGGCTCCGGCGTATTGTTTTTAAATTATGAATATTGAAGAGGTGCATTGAATGGTTATAAGTCGGTGTATGTGGGGGATCCGCCAGCTCTAGTGAACCATTATAAAGGATCGCCCATAAAAGAGACAGCTAATTAAAGAGTGGAATGTCGGAATGATGGAGTTCTCCGCGAGCTGCTCACAAGCCACAACACTGTCCACCAACTGCTCGATATTCACTCTATCTCACCACCAAAAAAATCAACGACTGACAACGCTTTAAATAAAATATAGACTCGACAGTATGAGAAACGTAGTGTTGGAACAACTGGTCTTATTCCCTGCCCTATTAAGTGTAATAAGAAATTCAATACATACAGACTGAGAAAAATTAATTTAAATTTTGTGTTATAAAATGTACAACGTATCTGCTGACCAGAAAGTAGAAAGACCTCGGTTATTCGAATCCGTATCGTGGTCATGTTTATAATATGTACAGGGTGTTTGTGGATTGCGAGCAAATATTTTAACCACTAAGAGAATTTGTTATGAATAGTCGAATTGAAGACCAAACAAATTTCGTATCCAAATTTTATTTTTGCAATTTCCCCCCTATGATTTTCACGAGCCGTTCAGTGTGTCTGTCCTTGTTAGTTGGAAGTAAAAATATCAATGAAAATAAATTGCATTGAATGTTGACCGTGAAAGTTTTTATACAGAAAAAAGGAAACTTTTTGTCCAAAAAAATTATCACTTATTTACACGTGTCAATTTAGTTAGTCGTTAATGCGCTTTCGAGTGGATTGTGCACATCGATTTGAAATCAAATTGTCAATCAAGTCATTATGGCCAACTACTCAAACGCCAAATTAACTAGTGTACGGACATCGCACTTCCAAGACCGATTTTCACTAAATGTTTGGGCAGAGATCATTGAAGATCACCAAACTGGACCCCACATACTACCTCAACGTTTAACATGTGCCGTTTATCTGGATTTTTTGGAAAATGTGTTGTCCGATCTGGTGGAGGACGTGCCCTTGGCAACACATGCGGTATTTACAAGTGGAGCTCCATCAGATTATGCCAAAGTCGTCACCAATGGATTGAACAATCATTTTCCCTAGAGATGGATTGATCGCCAATGACCACCGCGGTCACCAGAATTAAATACGTGAGTTTTTTTGGGGGTTCAAATGAAACAATTAGTGAATTAGCTCAAATTTATACCTTCGAAAGGCTGTGGTTGCGAACGCAAGCTTCCCTAGCCCGAAGAGAACAATAAGTGTGCATTGCCAACGAATGACCACATTTCAAGCAATTTTTTATAATAGCAAGTATTGACCCACTAACATTGACACTGATGTACCTTAATTTAGCGATATATTTTTTTTGTCTTTACGCTGTTTGCGTTCCAAAGTTTTTTCTTATGAATGATTGTAAACATCGTATTAAGACATAGGCGGGGACGGGTTTTCAGCTCAATTTATTTTTAATTTTAACTCAGAAATGACGTGCTTTCGACAAAAGTTGGAATAACGAAAGATGTTTCTTTTGACGAATCCTATTGGTGGTTAAAATATTAGCTCGTAATCCTCAAACACTCTGTATAATAATAAAAAAAATATAAAAAAGGTAAGAAAAAAAATATATAATAAAACACATAGACATAAAAGTGGTAATTTTAAACGCCAGATTACAGAAACGAATTTAGGAAAATGTAAGACTTAAAATGATGAAAACGTAAGATCGTCGATGAAAATTGAAAGTTCAAGAAAAAACTTAGAAAAGCCAAAACCCCAATGTAACACAATGTAAAAATATTATTAAATTTAGGATGAACGTTAGTTAAAAATTAGTTCAAAAGTGAGATGAAGACACACAATAACATAAATAATAGGGTAAAGGTGCCTAATGTCGACCATGTCCAGTAGTCGACCAATAAGATTTAAATTTAAAGAAAAAGCTAAAATATTTAAATACGCAGTGTAAGATATTCTCCTTTCCATTCCTCAACATGTTTTCCCGTTAGATTAAACTTTTAGTGGCGTATGGTGGTTCTTCAACTCCAAGTCGCCCAAAAATAGCAATAATAGTGTTAAATGAACCAGTTAAAGAAAGTTGTGTGATAAAAATTCTATGTATTTTTAAAATGATCATTTTATCACGAAACTTTCAACATTTATTGAAATTCTGCTTTTGGCGTTTACGACAGTGACATGAAATTGTAAAATTTTAAGAAACATTAGGAAAATACTTTCTGTTATACTTTTTTAACTACTCTATTGAAGTTATTACAATTGTTATCTTCTGAAATGTTTTTAAAAAATAATAATTTTAATTGTTGAGCTTGAGAGCTTTCTTGAAAGTTCTACCGTATTTCCTGATTTATTAAGTTTATCGGTTTAAACCCAACAAAGTCGCTGTTTCAATTAAAACCCGTCTTCTAATTCGATTTAGCAGTGTTCACATTTAAATGTGACAAGTTGCGTGTCATACGTCTGCTTAAAAACAGTTCGTCGACGAGGCGCCAGAAAGCGTGTGAGACGAGAAGGCGATAGACCTAAAGTTCGCCCACGAAAGCCGGCGCCGCCAGCACGCGAATAAGACTTCTTCAGAATCGACAATTTACAACATTGTGTAAACTTTTTCTCAGATACGGTTTGAGTCTAGACAAATCAATTTGTATAGATTCAATCATAACTATTAACTACACTTTTTCAATGAGAATTTCCTGAAAAAAACCCAACACTTGTCTTGAGCCTCAGCACCACTTTCACCTTACATGGACGCTAGTAATTAGACATCTGTTTTGTAATTGAATAACTTTGTTAGTATTAAGGTATCTACGAGTATTATTTGATTCCGTATGGTTGAAAGCTATTCAAAGACCTCAAACGACCAATAAAACAATAATAATTATTACAGGAGAGAATTTCTTTTTAACGTTATTGTGTTTCTACAAACGAGATTTTTATTAAATTACGATGCATCGACACGGAAAATAGTCAAGCATGCCGATCGAAGAACGTGGATATCAGTAATCTCAAGATTAAACGGCATCAAAACATTTTAATTATAACATCTTGTTTATTCCGACCTGATTATCATATTACATCAGATAGTGGTTTAAAAATTCATTATTTAAATTTCAATGGTTATTTACCGTAAATAATACAGTAAATTAGATCCACCGAGAGGCCACCCTTTTATTTAAACCAGTTATTTGGACAATGCTACAGCGATACCTCACACTCTAATTAACCAACAAACCCCACGCAAGAAAAAAATTTAAATCAAATGAAATATATTTTGTAAATTATTTTATATTGTACATTGTGTAAAACAGTTTTACAATATTTTTTTGGATTTGTTACAAATCATGTTGTCTTGATAATCACCTTAAATCACTCCCTAGAACACCATTTCTCATCATGTGTCCACCCTTTGAGCTATAATTGACACACAATTTAAATATAACAGCCTGGTAATTATTTCTAGTAATTTATATTCGCAAAACCCGCCCATTCTAATGCGGCTACTTATCCCCACAAAGCATAAACTTGCTCACAAGCACCTCCACCATAATTTATTTGTGCAAAAATGATGTAGGTAGTAATTAATGAAATTAGTCAACAATTACTGTTTTGTTTAGACAAAATTAAATAATTTATAGAGTAGGTAAAAAAATGTCACGTCCTGGCTTTAATGCATCGATTAAGTTACCAAATCGGGCATGTAAGAGGGTGTTTTAAAAACTATGAGAACCTCATAAATAAGGATCATGGGAGTCGCTGACACAATAAATTCAATAACTTTCAGTTTACGCGTCCGTAATCTTAAGTAATGGTAATCCGCTTATAAAATGACTTCTTTAAGAGCGTATCTAATTTGGAAATACAACAAATAAAATAAATTTTCAATGTTTGATGTGTAATAAAATCAATAAATAAAAACTAATCGTAAAATTGAAAAAACGAAGCCGATGTTTGTTTTCCTGTTCGATTTTTCACCTGGCGCCAAATAGATCTCCGATTTCCGATTAAGTTCTTACTATTACAAGGCTATTAATATTAGTACTAAATAACAAATAAATTATTACTAGGTTATCTAGATTGCAAAAATAAAAATTTCAAAAGTAATTGTCGCAAAACATCGGCGTCATCCATACTGTAATTAGATCATCTTACGTGGGATTGAAAATTTCTAAGAAATTATGACATTACCTGATATTTAGCACACCTCGTAATTACTTTGATGGTACCTACCCATTACCAAAGCCGATAAAATTCAATATTTCCATGTAAATTACTAACAGAATAAAATTCCTGTGTAATGTGACAACCGATTTCGTCAAATAGTTAAAATATCTGACAAAATACGTTAAGTTTAATTTTTAATAAAATGATCGCAAGCATAAGAACGTTTCGAAGAATAAAATTTTCCACATTTGAATTAATTAATTTTCATATAAAGATACTCACCATTTTTAATGGGACTTTGAATGGTAGAAAACGAGTACCAGGAACACGACGTCCCACAGGTAAATATTTCTCCCATCTGGAACAAACTTAAATTATTCGTGTATGCTCTTCTATAACTATCAATCTCAAGACAAGACCTCCTACCATTTAGAATGATTAAACAATATTTTCTTTTAAACACCTACAAACTATGTAAATTCCTAACATATGTAGCTTAATTCTAGTCATTACTTCTTGATTCTAAGACAGAATTAAAAATTTATTGTGTTTACCACTCAGTCAGATTTTCGTTATAAACTAAGCAGATTGTTAGAATTCTTTAAAGATCCTTATCGTTTTAAGCATAATAAAAGAGCCTATCATACTTAAATGTCGAAAGCTGAAATTTTGTAATAATTTTATATAATTAAACCCAAAATTTGTGCACATGGAACTTTGTCATTATGGTGTGAATTTATAACCTTCACTTCTTCCCACATATTAACTACTTTCATTGTTTTTTACACAGTTAAAAAATACATTAAAAGAGCTGTTGAAAAATATGAGTCTGAGAGCTTTTAAAAATGAAACAAAAACATTCATGGGCCATCTACACGCCGGTAGCTAAACTACTGCGATAACCAAGCAACAGAACACTTTATGAAATTTCTAACCTCAAAAACTTTAAAAATATTTTTTTTTTCAATGCATTAACATATTAATCAGCAAAAATGATGGCTTTTGGACCATTTTTAACTATTTTTGATATAAAATTTTGTTTGACAAAAACTAAAAATAGATTTTTTTTCACAAATAAATCTCACCTGTCAGGTATGGCTTTCATGTTTGCTTATTACTTCACAAATAATGTAAAACTAAAATTTGGAATAGCTGCTGACGTCACTTTGATTACCGTTTTGAGACTTTTTCATAAAAAAAAATCTAAATTTCACTTCACTTTGACAAGCAAAAACGAAACCATATGTTTGCAGTGTTGACGTTGTTACCACACTAGGTTGCCAACTTTAGAAAAGTTTCTTTAACTTGCATTATAACAAAAATACAATCCTTCTTATAAATATGTATTTAATTATCAATAAAAATAAAAGAATTAACTTGGTTTACAGTCCATATCGCCAAAATTTTTTGGTTGGATCTTGTTTACTTCTTCAAGAACCTTTTTCTCAAATTCTAACAATTCTTTGGGTTTTTTGTACTGAAAAATACAAACTAAGCATTGCGATATACATGATGATTTAATCAACATACTGTAATAATCAATGTGTTATATTTGTGAGCAATCTGAATTGCCTCTTGTTGTGGTACTATACACAGTCTATCTAACTCAGGAACTCTTAAAATTTTGAAATATTTCTTATTTGTGGTCCTAACAACCAGACACTTTTTATCAATATCAGTAGTGACTGAATAGGTTTCAATAGGATATGGTAAATTCCTAATACGCCACTCAAGGTTTATTCTTGTATTTCGTCTGGACACAAAAGGCTAAAACATAGGTATTTCCTCATTCTTAATCATTTTTATCAAGTATCAAAATAGTCAAGTACCTGACTAGAGTTTTCTCGAATCAGTAAGTTTTGTTCTTTATTCAGATTCACTTCTGGGTCTCCCAATTCTATGTCCCATTCGCCTTCGCCACCCATTTCACCCTTAACTTTCCAGGCCCTCCGAGTTACCACATTCGTGTCCATGTTATACTCCTCAACCATTTCTTTACCACTACCAAAATCGTAGTGCACTTTCTTCAAGTTATTTTGTACCATGCAAGATTTTTTCGCATTTTTAAGTTGAGTCAACCAATCCATCATTGACCAAACAGCAACTTTGCCTTAAGTGGTTTCCATTGTTACTAGGTTATGTTTACTGGTAACGCAGGAGACAAGAGGGAGTGTAATTTCGAAACTGTAGCGGCAAGTTTGAAATGGAATATGGGTTTTTAAATGAAACACTGATAATTATAAATAGCATTTATTATTATTTAAACATTAAACAAAAATCGACAGAGTTACAAACTTAACCGATAGAAATAAATTAACGTAAACTGTAACTATGAAAATACAAAACAGAAATCGAAGCATGGCAATATTTACAACTACAAGTATAAAAACCATCACGAAACTTTGGATAAATCATCTGCATTCCATGAAAAAATATATTTATGGCCATCACAGGCTTAAACCAACTCTCGAACAAACTAGACCAATATTTTGTGATACTGTCAATCATCATATCAAATGTATTTTACTTGGCTCACACGCAAATAATTATACCCTAAAACACAGCCCTTTTATCAAAATAAACCTATTTTCTAACCCTTACATGTAAATTCTGTCACTTTATAAAACCTATGGATTAATGTAAATACCTGATTACATTGAGCTCACTTTTGCATTATATTTACATCATTATAAAGAAAGCTTATCACAAACTGAACACATTATCATCTAATCACAATTCTCAACGATTCATTGGTGTGCTTACAAGATTTACAAAAATATAGTAGTCGTTCCAAAATGATTTCAAAAATAGTTGTATTCTCTTTACATAGAATTGTTTGAAAAGCACAGAAATACGCAGGTCGCTAACTGTTTACTAAGAAACACCTTTAATCTACCCTAAAAACTAATGATCTAATAGAGTTTATAAATAAAAATAACTGCCGATTCACTTCACTGTCAATTTGGTTTAGTTTACTTCAATAATTGCCAAGTAAAATACCAACTTCTTTCATATTAAGCGCAATACAGTAATCGTTACTTTCGAAATTTTTATAATCTACATGCAACATCTTATTAAAGTTGTACAATTATCAACATTTATGATAATATAATTTTACATGCAAACAATTAAAACATTTTATAACATGCAACTTTTGCAAACAACAAAAAAACCGGTAACAAAAGTGATGTCTGAAACAAATGAAAATAACAAGAATTTAGAATTATATTCCAATTGTCCGTAAAACAACTTTAATATTTATTTTAGTAAGTATTTAAATGTAATAATAGAAAACAATATAATCTAGTAGGAACTATAACAAAACACTGCATCTTGTCTCATCGACCTACCAACATAAAATGTAAAAAATGTACCTACATGTAATTATAAAACAATAATTTGTAATCAAATTAAATTACATAAATATGATTATTAATTAAAAATATATTTTTTGCTTAAATCTAAAATGCGATATAGAGATTCAATTACAGATTTGGTTATACTTAAATATTATCTTCTAATCCTGTCACAGGCTGTCCTTTGTTTATCTTTTCTAGAATCTTATTAACGTAGTCTGTGGTAAATCCTGCAACTTTCAATCCTAAAACACGAGAATTAATTATAACATTAGTAACAAACTAAATCGTACTTGTTGCAGCTTTAAAAATATTTTCAATCCTCGCCGACAATTCATCCTGTTTTTCAGGTGACTGTTGTTGTAGCTTAGCCATCATCAAATCCTTACACTGCGAAATTCCATGTAGAATGTTCCCTACATAACAATATAATTACTAATATTATAATTGTGACATTCTGAGACTTACTATGTTCATGTTCAAGTCCGTTTAATTTTATTTTATTCGCTTCATGCTGCGCCTTTTTCTTCAAACGGCAAGCTCTGGACGCCAATTTATTTTTCTCTTTTCTTGACCTCGGTCTCACATTAAATGGTAATTCGCTAACGGGCGTCATATCGTTAATAGTCCGTCCTAACTTATCCAGTTCTTTCCCAATATTAAAAAGTTTTCGCGCGTTCGGCGTTAGATCGTTGCCATCTCCTTTACGCGCTTTTCCGCTATGTTTTATACCTCTAACAGAACAATCAGGGCTAAAAACTGGATCAGTTACTTCGTTAAGGACGTGTGGATCTTCCATTTTACATTTCATTACCAGACGTTGCCCTTTGGGGCCTTTTGCTTGAACGTTGTATTGCCAGAAATACCTTTCTTTCTTGCTGTTTGAGTGTTTAGGCACATGTTCGTCGTCATCGGAATCTACAAGCAATAAAAATAACTCGACTTAGTTTATTGTTATTGCTGCAATTATATAAAAAGAAAAATTTAATGGAAAATAGCCAAAATAATATAAATAGGGCAACAACATATCCGGGTTTTGAGGTACGACTAACCCGTTTTTTATAGGCCTTGACCACTCTTCATCAATACACCCACTAAAAATTTATAAGGAAATTAATAAATAACAACAATGAATTAATTAATAACGACCCAAATGGAATTCGGTTCTGAATTTTCATTGTTAAAAGAAATAATTAGGTACTTCTATTAATAGAAGACACAATTTTGCATTTTAAGTCTAAGAATGATTTCAATTCAGTTTGTTGATAATTATGAATAAGTCTATTGTTTGTGACATTCCTTTCAACAACAGACGGTTTATTTAAGCTTATTTTTCCTAACACCATCACAAAGAATTATGTTAAATGTAAACTCAAAATTATTAGATTTCGTAATATGTTATGATCAGTTCTCTTCTGCATGATCTTAAGTCTGCATGCAACTAATAACAATTATAAAAAAACAGATAATTCTATCTAATCGCATTCATTGTTGATCTATTTTAAGATAAACCTATTTACATGTATAAATTTAAGTATAGTTATAACAATATTTGATTTAAAATTTTGCTAAGACAAATGAGGTTTTCTAAGAAACAAATTTCATGGTTTTGTTAAAACTGTTTCAATAAAAATGCACTTACTACTTATTACATGTGATAGGAATGAGAAAAAATGTTTTCCATCTTACAGCTTAAACCTTATTATAATGTTATTTGGTAAAAACAAATAAATAAAAATACATTTTTCAATTTCGTTTAATTTTTTTAATGAGTGAAATTCGTCTGTTTATTAATGTTGCAACAACATTTTCAAAGGTTCCTAGTTTGAATTTTTTATCTTTTTAAAGAAATATAAATGTCTATCAATAGTCTTATTTGTCATCGTCTTGATGATGTTAACTTGGTTGACGAAACAAGTGTAAACATTAACAAAAAAGTTTAACCACTATCTTAAGTCAGTTTATTATTAATATTATTGCTAAGACAGTTGCCTCGTTGCTAAAGTGCAACTAGAGTGAAAAGTGAAGTTTTTGTGTGAAAAGTGACAGTTCTCTGCAAAAAAACAAATTGTATTGTGTGTTGCATAGTTTTGACATTTCAAATATTGACTGACAGTGCGACAGTGATTGATTTATTATAATAATAAAATAATCCATAAAGGTTGTATAAAAAACATTGTGTTCGACTTGTGAAAAAAACTTTCTTCATGCTCGTGTTAAAGCAACTTAAACACTGGCATGAAAAATTCGCTTTTCAGCACCAATTTCAACACAAAATAACTAACTATAGCCCATCTAGACATATCTAAAGTTTTCTACTTATTTCACTTTGGTCCCAACAATTTTTAACAAATATTACAATAAGTGTCAAAGATAACTTTCTGAAATATGACAAAAAATGATAGTTTTTCTTTCATTTCCTAATATTTTACATATTTTATAGACCACAACCAAGCAGTATCAGAAATAAAAAATGTATTTTTTCTGACCGTGTATAAATGATGCCAAAAAAAGTTACGCCGTAGAGTTGATTGTTTTTGTTTTGAAGATGAAAAATTTTATACAATAGTTTACTATTTCTAGCCTCTAGTTCAAAGTAAAATTAACTTATTTGTGCATCTGAGGTGATATTAGTTTTGTCTTGTAAAAGAATAATTGTCATCTAGTTTTTTCAAATCGGTATTTATTTTTTTCAATATTAAAAATAAGGTGTGTTCAGAATACTCATTTATTTTTACTTGTAATGTTGAAGAAAAAATTAAAATAATTCTGTTTGAACAGTTTGTTTTGAACTTTCGAATATAATAGTCACCACTTTCCAATTAACTTGTCGAAGTAATGGTCTTTTTATCATTCAATAACCTTATTTGCAATAAAATGATGAGATGCCGACTAACAAACCTTTGAAATTTTCATTCAAGAAAACACTACAAGAACCTTGTACTTTGTTCTAAATTTAAGATCCAGAATATTCCTTACTTATGTAAGCGTATAATCAGCAAAATATTTAGACAAGTATGCCAAGTGTGACTACCACTTGTCCAAATTGTTTAATTCCAACAACTTGAAATAAATTTACCTATTTCCGACGAGACATCCTCATAATGATGATCCCCATCGCTCTCCTCATCCGTATCAAACTCATCATGGGAGAAATCCTGCGGATCCGGACTCAAAATTCCTCCCGTGGAAATCGAGGAAGTCGATCCGGCTTCCGCCAACGACCCCGTCGACAGCAAATGCTTCCTCGGCTCCCTCCTTTGCCAAATATCGGCAAATCCCACATGGGTCGGAGCCGAAGACGACAACCTCGACGTGTGGCTCCTCGGCATTCTCACATTGGGCGACGACGACGGCGTGTTTTTTTGAACTCCAGGAGCCACCCCTCGATCTGGCGAAATGTAATTCTCTCTCTTCATTAACAACTCGTGTAAAGTACTGTGTTTCTGCGAGCCGACATGAAGGGGCGACGACTGCAATTGGGGCGAATTCGAACTCTGACTCACGGGGCTGAATGCTGAAACGGGTGTCTTCGAGGTGTACATATCGAAGTTGTTCGATGTGATTGGTAGATCAAGGTCTCTGTAGAGAAACATACTGGGTTGGGGGCACGACGAGGAAGCTGTGACGATTGGACTGTTGTTGTTGAGGTGGTTTGAATTTTGGACAAATGCCGTTGACATTTTTTGGGACATATTCAGGTACGAAGTTTCCTCCGGCAGAAGTAAATCGTCGAAATTTAGATCACCTAGGAGAGTGTCGTCGTTTGCGTTTAGTTCGGCGAGAGTAGGCCCTTGAATAAGGTCGGCTTTGTCCACTTGGAATATATCGTCGTCGTCCATGTGGATCAAAGCTTCTGTTTTTATCGATTCATCGTTGATTATCAGGCGATTGCTCCACACTGATGTAGTTTCAAAACCGTCAGGGGTTTGTACATTTCCTAACGTACTATCTGGGTAAAGTGGCGATTGAGAATTATCTAAATCGATTCCAAAATCTCTGTAATCGGATATTTCCATTATTCGGCGTGATGGAATAGGGACACTAGCTGAAGTGTTCATTATTGACGGTTCTTCACGTAAGGGTTCTTCTTTGATTGTTATTCCAGGATCGACAAAATAATTCCTCGTAAAATCACTCATGACTAGTAGTGACCTGTAAAAAGAGGATTTGTTTGTAATGCCGGGTCCCACATGTTCTAAATGAATAATAAACCAAAAGTAGGTCAAAATTAAAACAGTTTCATTAAGAAAACTAATATTTAATCAAATACTTGTCTTTTTATAAGAAGTAGAAATATCGTCAAGGAAAAATTAATGTGGCAATTAGGTTAAATAAACCAATATTGTGTCTATTGGGTTTCAATTGAGCTGTTCATATGAATCATTTCCTAATGAAACGTTTAATAAAAAATGCATCGAAGCTCGTGAACAATGTGTTATTAAAAAATTAATAAAGAGCAAATCACAAATGAAAATTAAAATTTAAACAGACGTAAACCATTAAATCTTACGGAAAATTATAAAAAAATAACTCAAAAATTTAAAGGAGTAATAAAAAATAAATCTATCCTCCTTATAATTAAATAAAAAATTTATCTTAATGCTACATGATAATATTGACAATTAGCCACTTTACAAAAGCATCTTTTAAAGCCAAATTTTGATTATTTTTTCTGAAATCGAGAGTATAGTGAATAAAATAGTTCGTAAAGTAATCCAGAATACTTTATAAAGTACTTTTCCGGACTCATATCTCATAAATTGAATTCATCCGTTGACAAGATAGACAACAAGACGGCGCTTGTTGTGTAATGTTGATTGCATAGTTTTTTAAATTTTTATCGTGAATATGGAGAGCTTGCCCGAGGATCATCTTTATTTATGTCTATGGTTTAAATTTCAAATTGTGGTCATCAAATCACAATCAATTACACGTTATTATTATTTAAAAACATTAAATATTAAGTAATTTTTTTTACCATATTTACCATATCATTTTAATATCAATGTATTAAATACTCATTCGAGTTTCTATCTTTTTTTCTTTATATTCAACCAATTCTTAAGAATGTATTTCTATTTCAGCGTCACAAAAAGCATTTTTTGTAATTGTAACCCAAATTCAATTTAAAAAGTGCTCAATAGAAAAAAATAGTATAAAAAACCCCTGTTGCAACCTCTCGTGCATTTTGTAACATAGCTCTATGTCACAAATTACTCGTATCACAATGAAAGTGTTTTCTAATAAACTATTTTCAATGCAAGTTATTCTCCTTGGAATTTGAATAGTTTTGTAAGTAAATCAACGTATCAAATTATTAGATAATATTTTATAGCTCGCATTTCTCATTCAATACTTGCCTTTTTTACCCATTTATAAATTAATAAAATGTGAATAAAAATAATGTCACAAATTCATAAAAAATCCAAAAGAGGTAAAAAGTTATTCATGCGAAAATGTTAGAGGCCGATTTATCCATTTTGCATACGATAAATGTCACTTTTTAATAATTTATAACGTCTCCAAAAAAATTCTTACAAAATTGCGTTAGAACATCAATAGAAAAACTTTCATAACTACATATCTCGTATCACGTTTATCAATGATAGCCATAACATAGTGATCCGCAATAAAATGTAAAAAATGTGAAAGTTATATATATTTTAGCAATTTATATGCTGTATTATATTATTCAATAATAAAAAAAATAGAGATTAAGAGTTCACAGGTCAAAAACCATATCCAAATAGACACAACATTTTACAAGATCGAGCCCATTTTTAAACATCCGTTCAACCTATAGGTACCTCAAAAAATTACCAACATGTTTTAGTACTATGCCAGATAAAAATAAATGGGACAGCAAAATCATTCTGTTGACTTCAATGTAACACTGCCCTTAGTAACCTCTTATCAATTTAATGTCACTGATGTCCACGTAATGGCCATTTGACGTTTTGGAATGTTTAAAAAGTCAAATTTGACGTTAAAGCCTGCTTTAGTGATTTTCAGAAAGTGTCAAAAATTTTATGTTCCATTTTTTGTCCGATATGTATTCTGTAGGTGCTGTAACTTGAATTTATTTCTAATTCTAATCGGTGTTTACATATTTCATTTATTTACATTTAGATGGGAATATTTCAAATGTACCCGGAAGTAGTCAAATCTAGGATTGACATAAACAGAGATACAAAATTAAATACCCTATCAAATTATTCAAGGTTATGCAAAACTTAAAAAGTTGGCCCTGTTTTAATATTATTCAAAATTCAAATGAAATATTGACATTTAGTAAAATTATGACAGCCGTAAATGTTTTTTCAGGGATGTTAATCAGCAAAAAGGTTAAAAAAATAATGGATTGACATTCATCGTTGAATATTATTTAAACCATGCAATTATTACACAATATTGGGAAATAGTAAAAAAGTGATAATGATCGTATAATCGTGGACAGCATTCTTTGAAACAATGAATGTGTTGGTTAAAAACAAAAACAAACTACCTGAATGTTTGTTGTGGTATTAGAGAGGTAAATTACCCAATGTGACACTCAACAAACGAGATAAACAATACGTCAATACAACAAAACAAGCAATCCAATCGTATTTTCGTATTTTATGAATCAATATTCTCGGAGAACTGGCGAACGTAAACAACAAGGTCTAGTAAACAAAATATGCAAAATAAAATCGAGACGACAGTTGTAGTACTCGTAAAATTTGAAAATACTGATAAGAGATGACCTTTCAACCCAAGGAATTGAAAGATTTATCACCGTACCAAGGATAAAAGTTCAAATCCCGTGTCGAGTCAATGAAAAATCCACCATAACAATCAGACCATCAGCATGACTCAATGTTTTGGATCCCTTCGATAGCCTCTCACGAACCTCACTGGCAATGTCACTCGTCAACGTCCACTTACAAGCACGGCACAATAAACGAGAAAGCACTTGATAACAAAACAAACCGAACAATTTTATGCTAAATCACAAAATATGTGAAACAATAAACCAGGTTTATTAAAGGTCACATGAATACATTCAATCAATTTCCTACACCAATAGGAAACCAGAACGGAACACTTGCACCAATGAAAGTGTTGACTTTGTGCAAAACTTAAATGTACAGCATTTTCAAGAAATTCGCAACGTCAACACTGTATTTTTAGATTGACTGATATCAACGTTATCACTTAACGAAATGACAACTCGATCATCATTGTCCAATTGGAAAAACGAACGGTTTTAGGCGTCTTTGACGATTGTCAGAACCACTGTTTTGATACACAGCACACTTTGATCGTCCACATTGTCAGCCATTTCCTTTATTTGCAAACACTTAATTTCGCTGACGTCAGCGCAGAACTTGGCTATGGATATGATATTAGCGGCCTTGGTACTCACAAAGTCACAAACACACGTGATCTCTCAAGGAACACAAATAAAACAAAAATAAAACCGACAATAACAAAAACACCAGCGACATCTACGCAACAAGAACCAACTTGTCACAAACAGGTCACTGTAATAAATTCTTTTCTAGTGTTCTACACTTTGTTATCATCAAACAAGAGAGCGAAATTTAAATTTAAATAAATTTGTATGGGTTATTTAGTTAAATCAAATAAAAAATAGAATCACAGGTTTATTTATATTTTTATTTTTGATGAAGTAAAATATATTCGATGGTTAGTCACCTAGATGCAAACTTCTAGAAGTTTTTATTATTGCCTCGTTTGCATTTAGGGAACTCCTCTTTGGTCATTCTAATCATGTGTATCTCTATCTTCTATAGGCCTAAGTATTACACACAATTTAAATTAATGAATGGAATGATTTTTATTGTAATATTATATTAAAAACTGTCAACGCCAATCTGTTTATTTCATAAAGAGGATGATTTTTTAACTGGGCAACAAGCGCACTTTGCCGCAATAATTTAAAAAGATATAGGCAACGCTTTTTTAGTTTTCGAAAACTAATACACCTCTTTGACTATACTCTAGTGCGTATAATCAAAGCTTATTTTTCTGCTGTATTAGAAACTACAATTAAATATCACAATGGCCGGCCTGCACTATCTTTTTGAAAGTTTCATAAAATTGAAACTGACAACAGGAAGTTAAAGAGCCAGCTTACAATCGTCCTAAGATTTCATCCTAAAGTTTTTACACCATCCTATAAAAATTAGATATGGTGGATTTAAAGCACTAAACGATCTTTGGTGACTACACGTGCGCTAGAATTGACACAACCGCAACCATGCCAAAATATAAAACACCTACACTAACCCTTTCTAGACAATGTTTCCCCATTTCAGTCTTTGATAGTCTTTAATCACAGTATATAAAGTTAATTCATAAGTAGACACTACACACGGTTCCCAAAAAATCCATTGTTTGTTACGGTTTTGTCAAAATTTTTATGCAATACGATTTGAGCATTTTAGAAGTATGTAAGTAAACGCACATGTAGCACATCGTTACACTTTTCCCTTGCCTGTGTTCTAACCATGTTGTTTTTGTGTTCGTTACTACAAAGTGAGGAATGAGACAAATAAAAACGTTTTAGTGGCAAATAGTAAGTATGTATACAAAATGTGCTTTTTCGTACCGTATTAAAAAAATTGAAACAAGGTACATTTTTACTTGATTTTTTCTTGTCTTATATATGAATAGCACAGCCCTTATGAGGAAGGATGTTTTAAAAAGTCTAATTGAATTCTCATCCAAATTTATACAATAAATTACTCAAAGACTTGAGACTGAACGACACAAAAACAAACAGGTGTCTTACATTGTGACTGAAACAATTTTTAAACCAATCAAATTGTCAACCTTTATAAATTTCTTAAGCAGTAATATATTTTTCATTATTTATTATACAATTTCCTCATTTAATAATCGGTTATATTAGAGATATTTTGTTAAATTAAGCCTCGAGAGTAAAGTTGATGGGCTTCAAAAATTGTAGCGCACAATACTTGGAAATCTAATAATAAATTATCGTTGCTTGAAGAATTTGAGTGAAGTATACATATGTGAATGTGCATTTTTCTTTAATTTCTCTGCACAAAACAGGAACAAAAACAAAAAATATTCTTTGCTCATGCATAATTTAGCTTTGGTGTTATTTTCTATTTAGTGCTGAGCAAATAACTGTCAGAGATATGTAGGATCGTAATTTGTATTCTACTTTCCTTTCCTGTGCAGAAGATTTAAAGTGCAATTTGTACTTTTGTAGCCCACCGAAGATGGAAGTCGCAGTTTTTGAATAATTTTTTGCAGAGCAGTCTGTAATTTTGGAAGCGATAGAAAAATTTCTCAATTCATAAAAAAAAGCTAATCGGTTGTAAGCTGCTAGCTTAAAATGTGCGTCAGCAGCCTAATAAATATTTTCTGCTAGAAAAAATAAAGTTTCAAATCACTTTACTGCTTCTCCGTCCCTCCCCCTTGCTCGTCATTGGCCCTTTCGTGCGGACGCAAAATAGCCCTCACAGTTTCGAAATGTTTTTTAAACCCTAATTTAGCATACAGAGCTTTGGATGCGTCATTTTCAGGACGGATGACGACGAAAGGTAGATAACCCCTTTCTGTCACCACTTTGGTCAGGTACTTGGCGAGGATAAGACCGTAGCCTTTTCTCCTATATTCAGGTCGCGTTTGCATCGAAAACATTGCTCCATAATAGGATTGGACCATCCACGCTGCTAGTTCACCTGTAGCTGAGAACACTCCATAACAAGGGAGTTTTTCGATTAGTTTTTCAAAAATTTCAACACATTCCATGTGATTTGCGGGGTATAACTCGTGGATGGTTTGAGCATTCTCGGGAGTCAACTGCAGCATCTCCGCATCCTCTGCGAATACCCTGAAACAGCAACACAAACATTGGAAGATTAAGTTCGACGTGACTCATAAAATGCAACACCACAACAATATATATATTTTTTAAATTAAATATTGTGAGCGAATTAGGCAAACAATCATACAACAAATAAACCAATCAAACTTGAAGCGAGATCTTTTGCTTTTTGCCAGTTCTTTTGGCCATACTCGTAATTAAATTTACATTAAAAAAAAAACATTAAAAAACACTTTACTCAAAATAATTTGAAAAAATTAAAATCTTATTAACTAAAAAAAGTGTCCTAAAAACCATTGCAATTCTTTTTAGGTGGCTACTAAATGATTCTTTTTGCAATAGTAAAAGTCCACAAAATCAGCTTCAATTAAAAAAAAAAACTACTGATTATTTAGGACATAACAAAAAAAATAAATGTCAAAAATCAGTAGCTTAGTAATAAACTTTATTATTATTACACTTAGTGTTAAATTATTAGTTTTTTTTTTTAAATACTTTTGGTATATTTTTTTAATAAATTAATTAAATTTAACAATTTATATGATGCGTTAAATTTTTTTTTTTTTGAAACTACTAAGTATACCTAAAAAAAGACAGGTCTGTATGTTGACATACAGAGTGCGCCAGAACTCGCGCCCCAGAGAGAAAATAAGGTAAGATACCAGGAACATGAAAAAATGTTAAAAAAATTTTATCTATAAAAATTATGAGAGTTTAAAATTTGCACTTTGATTCTATTTATTTCTGTTGGAAAAATAATTTTCCATTTATTTTTGCTACAGTCTATTAGAAGAGGAAACAATAAAGAAGCTGTATTCTAAATTGTAACTCTGTTCAATGTTATTTGTGGCTTTTATTGGCAAAATTTTTGCACCTTTACCAAATAATTGTAAAAATAACATACACTGTGTCAATTTTAAAACTTGCAATCGTCAATTTCTCTCAACTGAAAAAGTTATTAATAATCACTCAAAACCGTTTTGATGGTTCCTAGGGGGAATTAAAATGACATGATAAGTGACACACCTCCACCCACCCTTGAATATAGTAAAAAAATGAAAAAATGAAATAACGTCTTCGTTTTTGAATAATTGGAAAAATAACTTTACCAAATAGGCTGTTGTATGACATTTTTGAAAAGCGCTTTTATGGGCTTTCCAACGATATATCGCAAGTAGGGTCGTGCCATTTAAAATTTTAAAATTGGCTGTGGCTTGAAGGGTGGGCGTTACTTACCATGCCATTTTGATTCCCCCTAAAAACCACCGAAACGGTTTTGAGTGATTCTCAATAACTTTTTTTTAATTCTAGAGATATTGACGATTGCAAGTTTTAAAATTGACACCCTGTATACAAGATCATCAGTATCGTTAAATAGACATAAAAAAAATGTCAAATGTCAACATTTTTTGACAGATGTTTGACCATGTTCCTGGTCTTACTCGAAATTTTTCTCTGGGGCGCGAGTTCTGGCGCACCTGTATAAAAGGACAATATCTTATAAAATTTTTTAGTAAATTTTTCACCGAATAACTAAGAAAACAATATTTAGGTTTTTTTTCCACTTACACATTTGTACTGTCTTCCTCCTTGGTTGGTTCGGTAATAACATAAATGTCTCCATATTGTTTTTCTATCGTTCCTATCTTACTGTAAAATTCTTCGATTTTATTCATAATGTTAGCGTGTGTAAAGTTGAGATAGATTGGTTGTGTCCAATCGATTAGAACATCTTCTTCTGCTAAAAGTTGCAAATGCTCCAGTTGATCGCAGGGACAAAAAACACTGAAGCTTTCGTAAATTTTCCCGTTAGGCTAAAAGCACATTCTCTAATTAATCAAAAGATACGCAACATTAGTATCGCTAATGGTGCGTAAGAAATGATTTAGTGGTTTTAGTGTCGAGTATTAAAAAGTAAAAAAAAAATCTAAGTAAGGTTCCATTTGCCCTCTGTATTGTTTACTTTGGTATTGATAAATTTTTAGCCAAGGATTGCATGCGTTTACGAAAATAATCGCAAAATCAAATAAAATCGCAAATTGCACATTTGCCTTCAAATATAAACATAAAGGACATAAGTAGAGAGCCATACTAAGAACCATGTCTTTAGGCCTTGGGTGGTCGTTATAAGCATTCAGTACAATCCTCTTATCCCGCTCTCCAAAAATCCATTTAAACAAGTCTAAAACCCTAAAAATAAATCCTCTAGTGTGAGTTTACAATTTCCAAATAAACACTAGAGGCAACAATTTTGCATTCATTATTCATTTCATAGTGGTTCTCGTCACGGAAGGGCTTTCGGGTTTCCGCAATATCCCCGTAAGAAATTAGGCAAAAAGCCAAGTGGGCCAAGGACCCAGTAAATTCCTCCTTTATTTAGTTGATGATTATGTAAGTAGTGACCGCTTGTTTTTTTTTTAATAGGGCCGTAAATCTTCAGATATTTAAACTTTCTTTTGTAATACTTCCAACAAAGACGTTGTTTCCAAGAGAAATTTGAGACACCCGCATCGATCGATGTCAATTGGTGCCACTATACCGTAAAATAAAACGTGAAATTATTTCCCTTCCAAGCCTCCAAAGCCATTTTTGCTCAAAAATAATCAATGACTAAAAACTCTGTTGCACCATTCCAATAAACAAATACGGACGTTTCTTTGAAGCAACTCGATTCAAAATGAATAGAAATTAATCTTTTATCGCAAATTTAAAAGCAACAAGAGTAAACTATTGAATAGTTAAAAGAATCTCAGCGGTTCTTTTATTTCCGTAAAAAATTAATCAGAACCGTTCTAATACAAGTTCTCTCCCTTTTATCAGTCGGCTGAAAATCCCCGTTAAGTAACCCAATAACTAATTCATTAACCCTTTTTCCCTCACTAATTCATTAAAAGGCGGTGATTGGGTTAAAAAAAGCCTTTTGGATTGACATGTTATCCGCTTAGCCTAATCTGAATTCCCCCTATTTAGCAAAATTGTGGCTATTCAACTCCACTAAAGTCTACAAAAAAAAAAACCTCTAACGTGACGTCTCGAGGCTCGTTCAATAGTCAACTTATAACTACTTAAGACCAATTTTCACGACTTCTAATCCCCCAATTAGCCGACTTTATTAGAGACTACGTTTGCAAGAGAATTTCTTGATCGTGTTGTTAAAGCACTTGAAATGCCTCGTTTTTAGCATGACCTTCACCTGTGTGGAAAGACTCATAAAAAGCTTACCGTTTTTGTCATACCAGGAAAGTGGAGGATTACGGGTTGATCAGGCCACGTTTTCGTCACGTAGAAATGGAAGTCCCAAACACGATCGTTCAAATAGGTTTTCAGTGTTTGGTGGAACTGGAAAATGGCAACAAAACGTGTGGAAATGTAAATTAAGTGGTTTCATTTAACTCTTGGTTAATAAGAGTGTCGGAATTTTTCTGCAGACTGTTTTCCAGGTAAGCAGTAGGTGCATGTCAGAAATAAAATATGCTAATAATATTGCGTGATTTTTGAATAAAAGATTTTTTGATACACACGATCAAAGTTTGTACATAAATACGAGTATTTATTTAATTATTTCTTTGTTGTGGAAATAAATTTAATTTTATTTAAAATAATAGTTTCAGTTTATTTAACGCAATACACAGTAATTTCTTAAAAAGTCCCTTATTTGGCTTAAGACTTATCGTTCTCACAAATGTTTGAGAAGTAATTCAAGCGTTTTTTCTTTTTCATTTTTGATTCAGGAAGTTACATTTATTAGTTTGCCTGATTTGTACTTTTCTTAATTTCCAGAGTATTTTACATATTTAAGAATTTAAAATATATTTTTTGTTGTCTCAAATTATTCAAAACAATAACATCCAAGAGGTGTTAGAAGCTCAACAAGTTCTTTTTATGTTAATTTATGTTAATTCATAATTAGTTAAGTCGGATTTATCTAATTTAAGCCAGAGAAAAAAATAATACGTTCTATCAAACCATTCAATACATACGTTTTTCGTCACATTAAATTACCATATTAAAAAAATAATTTTCAAATTCAGAAAATGTCAATATTTGAAGGTCTAAACTGCCAAAAAGCCGAGCGTTAAAGAGAAAGTCGGGCTATTAAAATCTCTTAACAGTTCTGTGTGATACTAGGGTGATATTGACAGTTTAACGATTGTAAATTGTTAAATGTTATGTATATCATAACAACATGAAACGACGAAAAAGTTTTTATATAAAACAATTATTGTTTACTTTTGTTTATCTACAGGGTTATTCATAAATATAAAGCAAGTAACTATTCCAAATTTAGTCAAATTTTAGTCAAATGGTTCCTAAGTTATTAAAAAAAAAAACAAATTTCCATACCCAAATTCCAAGGGCTGTAAAATTCTTATCAGTAGAGATAGGACACGAGTTTTTATAAAAATTAACATCATTTTAGAGGACGTTTTTGAGATTCAAAGATTATTGCTTCATATTTATGAATAACCCTGTATAACGTTTTGCCTAGGATTAAATTTTCCTTTTTTAAAATATGTACTATTAAAGTCATAAAAAACTAGGACAGCAAAATATCGTCAACTTTTCAGAAATTTTTTTTTACACAAATATAACAAACGCGATTGATAGTAAAATCTTGGCTTCGCCCCGATTATTTTGTACAGTTTAATCATCCTGTCTGTTATTTATTTTAGAAACAAAATTTTAACATGTTGTGTTTTATCTAAAAATTTGTAACACTTTAGTTTTTGAAATAAAAAAAAAACGCTTGTTGGATATTATCCCTTTTTAATTTTCATTTTTATTCTATACTTTAACACATTAAAAGATGTCCGTAACTGTAATCAATTTTTTTCATAATTTTAGTTATAAACTTCAATCCTAGCAGTTATTATAAACGACGGAGTTTACAGAATTAGCGAAATTCGTCTACTATCAATTCGCAACTTGAACAACTCTCACTAAAGTTGTCGTAATTAACAGTAATTAGTTTAAAATAAAGTAAATTTATTTATCTACTGTATTTACTTAAGTACTTTTCTCGACAATTTTTATTCATTTAATAATTAGAATAAACAAGTAATTTTTATTAAAAGCCATTTTAAGTTAATAATAATAAAAAAACATACTAACACATGTACCCATAATTTGTAATAATATACCCAAAATATTGTTTTACATGTTTCCCAAATCTCACACAAAATAATTTCTAATACTTGAAATTAGCCTGGCGCATCCACCAAAAAGATAAAAGCTTTTCTTAAAGTATATCAAAAAGTTGCATTCTACAACATACGAAGTGCAAAAAAACGAATAAAATCTCACCTTAATTGAGTGAGGTAAAAATTGTCCAATAAATTCAATTATGTCTGGCAGTTCTGAGTCTTCAAGTAATCTGAAATTTTTCCCCTCCGACAATATTTCTTCCATTGCTAAAAATGAAGCACATGTCTTGCTTATAACACTCATTAAAGTTAAGTTGAGTAAAATAAAGCACAACTAGAAAAATTAATAAACTTTATTAAAAAAAAAGTTTGAAATAAAGTTAGTTACCTAATAAAACCGCTATATAAGTTACCATAAAACAAAATAAAATCATTTCAAAATTGAAATCGTTTATGTAAGGGAAACGTGCCCGCGAGTGTTGAGTCATAAAATTGCACAACATGGTATTACATAAATTACAATCTTCCTACCCCAATATTGAAATTTGTGATACTCGAACGAAATATGCTACTTCGGTTTTTTTCAACACGAAACACTTAACTAAGTTTAATACTTTACCTCGTTTAAGACGAGCAATTTAAGAAAACCTCCTCCTTAGTCCTTTGTATAATGTCTTTAAACTTTGAAAGAAACCGGATTTAGTAAAAGAATGTGTATCTCGTGTGCCGGAGTATTTGCAAACGAGTGATAGGAGGAAAAGCACATTGATCGACTCGCAGGGTGCGGAGAGGTCTGCAGCCCCCGAGCGCTCCCCTTGTACTGCAGCTGCCCTCACACAGGATTTGGTGGGAAGTGAAATGGTAGCACACGACGCACCGAAGTTGCGCAAAATATGCAGGAAAAATGCGATATGTCGCTAGGACAATAGATACCATTGCTATCGCTAATTGTCCTAAATAAGGAAAATAGAAATGTCAAGTGTGGGTAGCAAAAAATTAAAAAAGAAGCTGTAGGTTTTCAGACACATTTTTCGAGGAAATTAAAAGCTTCGAGTTCAAGGTTTGCAAAATGCCTCCTGATCATCAGAGGGTTCTTTTAAATTGATTCATAATTATAATGTTTACAAGTGGGTGTTCAAACTCAAAGCCATTGACCACAAACGCCCACTTGTCTTATTAAAATGTCTCAGCGATGAAAATGTATTTATAACAAAATACGCAAACTCCAACTTCAAATTAAGATTTCTTTATTATATAAATTATTAACAGTAATTATGTTCATAAAGCTGTAATTTAATGTTTACACACCATCAATACCATCAATACTCTCATTAAAAGGTTGAAAACCTCTTTGAAATTACAAATTAACTTATGTCACATATGTATATCTTTTATAATACATACGAGTGCAAAAATTTAATCTAAACAAATTTTTATGAAATACAAAAAATATGACATTAAATTTTTATGAAACGTTGTGAATATAACGGTATAAAAGGAATTATCTATTACAATGTTGCAAGTTTTTCTGCTTACATCTAATTAAAATGTAACTAATCACAACTGGTATAATAAATAATAATCACTAGTATATTATTGTAACAGTGTCTTAGTGTCATTCTTCTCTTTGCATCAGTTTATAAATTGAAGCAAAAATTAAAAAATATGTATAGAAGGCATTTCATTCTTAAAAAAAACTGGACAAAAATTTACTTTCTCCCCATTACAACCCTGTTCCTCTGTCCGAGTTTATTGATTATGTAAAATGAAACTTCTCCTAAAATAACGTGTCAGCCAGCAATTTTTGTTGTTACGTGCAGTTGAATAATTTTACTACAAATTTAGTTAAATTAAGTGTTAGTTTTTAAATTTCAAGGAGAACATATTATAGTGAGTCCAAACGCAACAAGATTAAACACAAAAAATTTTTAAAAAAATACTTAAGTTAGGAAACAAAATAAAAAGCAGATGTTCTGGATATATGTTAAAGGCAAGTTATTAGCATAAGCTAAACCCCGTTTCTATTATTTTAGATTAATTAAATAAAGGGAGTGTTCATTATTGATCCCCGTCATGAATTTTAAATCTATAAGCCCCCTAACGACCGAATACGATAATGGTCGCACAACTACCAGTCAGATTTCTCTATTACCGACAATGAGTTTACATTCCATCACAGGTTAATTCAATTTCCCTATGAATCTTCTAAAAATTCGCCTTATCAGAGGGTAAATACATTTTGTATCAACACTGTTTCTTTGCAGAATATTTGGATGACCTTAAAATGTCCAGAAGGAGGGGTCGCGATTATGACCACGTAGATTACACAAAGTTAGCACCTACTGATAAGGACAATGGGTTTATAGATGCACAGTTTATTACACCTGCCCATGGAAATATACCATGGAAGGCTATTTGTTTGGCTTCTATGTTACTAGTCGTGGGCACATTTTTACTCATTTTTGGGTCGTTGGTTGTTAGTGGCCACATAATACTAAACTATTCAGACAGAATGTGGCCAATGATTATTCTGGGGTTACTGATGTTTATCCCAGGGGCGTACCATGTACGAATTGCCTATTATGCATACAAGCAAGTGCCTGGCTATTCTTTTGACGATATTCCTGAATTTGATTAGTGATTTATTTGAAATGAGGGAAATCATGTAGCCAAAAACAGTATTATGGTACTAAAGAGAATAGATTTGTGTACCTGAGTTGACTAGGAAAAAACATAGGTAAAGACTAAGCAATCAGCTTTGCAAGTTAATGTGCCTTTCTCTTGTCGTTAATTATATTATTAATAAATGTGCCCTTGAATCAATGTACTTTCTAAAAATTTGTTAATGTTACAACCTAAATATTTGAAATAAATGTTTATCTATTTAACTATTCACAACTGTGCCTTTATTTAACACCTAACTAATGTAAAATGCCAAGACAACAATAAAAACAGGTATTTTTTTATGTTCAGTTTCTTTTTATAATTTCACAACCCAATTAGCCGTGGTTGGATTTACACAAGTCTTTGTTTTATTGGTTGTCTATCCGTCAGGCAGGAAATTGAAACCTGAAAATTAGGTTATGTGTATTAAAATTAAAAAGCTTGTTTTTAAATTTATTTGAATTGTTTTAATGAATTACAATGGTAAGCCTCATTTTTGCGTGTTATAAAATCCTAATATTTTTTTTACAGTCCGTTACGCTTCACACTGACCTGGGCAACATAAAAATAGAGTTATTTTGTGAGTTTTGTCCAAAAACTTGTGAAAATTTTTTAGCCTTATGTGCGAGCGATTATTACACTGGAAATTTGTTTCATCGAAATATAAAAGGATTTATTGTTCAAACTGGAGATCCTACAGGGACAGGTAAAGGCGGAACTTCAATCTGGGAGAGAAAATTTGAGGATGAGTTTAAGGAACAGCTCAAGGTTTTTATTGTTTCGAATATTACAATTTAACTAACTGAATTTTGTAGCACACTGACAGGGGAATACTTTCAATGGCCAATAATGGCCCCAATACGAATGGTAGCCAATTTTTTATTACATATGGGGCTCATCCACACTTAGATTTAAAGTATACAATTTTTGGAAAGTGAGTAACAATTCTATTACTTTCATTTGTACAAGACGTTTTTTTAGAGTTATAGACGGGTTTGAGACGCTTGATGAGTTGGAAAAAGTGCCAGTTAATCCAAAGAATTACAGACCAATAAATGATATAAGGATAAACAGTATAACAATACATGCAAATCCATTAGCGTCAGGATAATAAATATAGGTATTAATCACTATCTACTTCTTTATAGTCAAGTACTAGGGCAGTAAGATCCTCCCTAGCATCTTGAAATTCACTTTCTTCCATTCCTTCACCAACATAATGATGCACAAATGACCGTTTGGCATACATCAGGTTAAATTTATGCAAGATTCTTTGCCACGTATCTTTTATTGCTGTGGTATTAGACAGCATAGTGACCGCCCTTTGAACCCGGGCCAAGTCACCTCCAGGAACTGTAGTAGGAGGTTGATAATTAATACCAACCTGAAAAAATCGTTTCAGACTTAATCATCCACAAAAATAAATTACTTTAAATCCTGTCGGCGACCAATCCACAAACATGATACTTCGCTTTTGTTTAATATTTGTGATAGCATTGTTAACATCAGTTGGTGTTACATCACCACGATATAAGAGACAGCATGACATGTATTTACCATTTCTGGGGTCGCATTTGACCATTTGATTGGCTGGTTCAAAGCAAGAATTTGTTAATTGTGCAACGGATAGTTGCTCATGGTATGCCTTCGTGGCTGGGACGAAGGGGGCGTAGGTTATTAATGGAAAGTGAATTCTAGGGTAGGGCACTAAGTTTGTTTGAAATTCGACCAAGTCGACATTTACAGCTCCTTCAAAACGTAGCGAGGCTGTAACTGCAGACACTACCTAACAAATTATTGTAATAATTTTATATTTTTTCCTTGTAGTTAATTACTTGGCCCAAAAGCCGGTTTAAATTGGTGTAAGTCGGTCTAGGGACGTCTAAATTTCGGGCTAAAATGTCATAAACTGCCTCATTGTCCATAATGAAGCAAACATCTTCATTTTCAATACATCCATGGGTCGTAAGGATGGCATTGTATGGTTCTACTATCACAGGCGATATCTACGACATTTTACTTGTAATAAGCTAAAAAATTTACGTGATAGCTATACTCGAGGTGCTGGATATACAGCAAATTCCAGTTTACTCTTCTTCCCATAATCCATACTCATCCTTTCTAGAAACAAAGTTGTAAATCCTGATCCTGTCCCACCTCCAAAAGCGCGAAAGATAATAAATCCTTGAAGGGAATTACAGTCATCTACAACTTTCCGTGTCCTGTCCAACGCTAAATCTATCATTTCTGTTCCAATAGAATACATTCCTCTTGCAAAATTATTTGCAGCATCTTCTTTTCCAGTTAGTAATTGTTCAGGATGGAAGAGTTGCCGATAATGACCGGTGCGAATCTCATCTAACGATTTTATTAATTTTTTGTTAATTCACTAATGTTTAAATACCAATCACAGTGGGTTCTAGGTCCACCATGACGACCCTTGGTACTGCTTTTCCCGCCCCAGAAATGGAGAAAAACGCATTGTAACTATCATCGGTTCGGTTTTTATGATAACCGGCATAAAGAATGCCATCGGGTTGAATAGCATGTTCTAAACAGTACAGTTCCCAACAAGCATTCGCTATCTGAACTCCAGCTTGACCTATGTGTATCTGGACGACTTCTCTCTTAAGAAAAATTAGAAATTAGGTGGTTTTCAGTGTTTGGTCTTACATTTGAAGGCATTATCCAATTCTTGGTTCATTTTCCCACGAAAATTTTGAAAAAACTTAGAAATCTATACGAGAATTTTGATTTTGTGCCAAAATGACATTATGACAACGTCATAATCATAGTCAATATTAATAAGCCAATCAAATTGGATTAATTACATAATATGTTATTCAGTTTTAACTGCTTATATAGCTTTAATATTTCTTTTGTATTTACATTTGGGAAATGATCACAAAATCGTTAGTTACGCTGAAAAGTTCGCTAAATATTGGAAATGGAAACAAAGTGTAAAATGCAACAGTGTTTATTAAACCAAAATAAAAATATAGAAAAATTGGGTAAATAATAATTATCGGGGGCACATGGCATGTCTGCCACCATCCACAGGCAGTGTGGCCCCAGTGATAAAACTGGCATCATCACTAGCTAGGAAAACAATGGTTTTTGCGACTTCTTCCGGTTTTCCGGGTCTTCCCAGAGCATGGGTTTCTTGACTTTTCCTTATGAAAGCTTCATACTGTTCCTGATTCATTCCACCCCTCTTATGCAAATTAGTGATAGTGACTCCTGGGTTAACAGCATTGACCCTTACTTGTTTTGAAGCTAGATCAAGAGCTGCACATCTGGTGAAATGATCAACGGCCGCTTTCGACATACAGTAAGCCAGAACTCCGGGAAAAGCCCTGATTCCATTAACACTGGAAACATTAACAACATTTCCCTTCGTTTTAATCAAATGCGGGACTGCTAATGTCGTCAAGTGGTATATGGAGCGTACGTTTGTATTCATAAGTCTATCATATTGTTGCAAATTCGTCGTTTCGATACTGCCCGTTTCCAAAATTCCGGCGTTGTTAACAAGGACGTCGAGACGACCATAGTGGGATATGGTCTTCTGAAGGATATCCTCGGTGTCTTTTTCGTTGGTGAGCTCTCCAGTCAAGAGAAGAGGTTTGTTGCTAGGGGAGTTGCATTGTGAGGCCACTTCTTTGAGGTTATCTAGGTTCCTTCCAGCTAGGGCCAAGTTTGCACCAAGACCCGCGAACTGTTTAGCGGTCGCTGCACCAATTCCAGAACTTGCACCCGTGATTAAAACTACTTTTCCGGCGAAATTCATTGCGCGATGTGGAGGTCACTCAAGTCGGGAAACCTACTGTTCAATGCAAGGTCATAATTTTTGTTTTTAAACTCGTACTCGCCGTCGTTGGTATAGGAAAAGATAAAGATAGCAGATAATATTGTTTTTTGTGATTAACATTAATAAGTATTTGGATTTTGATAAAAGTGTAAGGATAAACAGATTTATTAGTTTTATTACAAATCTAAATGCCTTTTCGAGAAATAGGACTTCTTTAAAAAAAATTAAATCCATAAATGTGCTTTTCAAATTTGAGGTTTTATCGAGGGTTTTATATTTTATGAAATATCTCTTTAAATTAGTTGAAAACAATTTTGAAATACAAACAATGGTGTAATCGAGGACGTAATATGTAATAAATGCTGTAATAATTATCAAAAAAAAAAAGATATGGCTGCTCATCATCCGCACAAATGATCTTTTAAATTATTAGAAAAAAAGTATTGTTTTTCTACTTAATTATTATTATTAATTAATTATGACAAAAGAAAAATTTTAAATTATGTATTTTTACGAGCTGTGTAGCTCTTGATCTTTTACACTGCTCAAGTGCAAATTTAAAAAATAATTATTTAATTACATACAGGAAAAAAATTAAGAAACAAAGATATATCACTTTTGAAGCAATTTTTTGCTTTAACATTTGAACTTATATGTATAAATTGTTCTCCTGTGACTACCACAATAAAGCAAAACGCATTAAAATTTTGTTTAGAATTTTCTGTAAATTGTTAAATCTCTGGTTAAAATTTCTTGTAAATGATAATGAATTTTAGTTCAAATTACCTTAGGGATAAAGTACAAAGTGGTTATAAACGATTTTCACCTAGCCAGCTGTGAATAAAAAATGCCGCTTTACGAAAATAGGGGTACAACCTACTCGTTTTAACTCAAAATACTAAGCGTCCACTTCGAAAATAGACTTCAATTATAAACTTGTTTTCTTCCAAAGTATACATTATTATCAATTATTATTGGAAATTAGTTGAAACAATAAAAGTTTAATTAACAACAATTTATTATTAATTAATAAGTGACACTAATGACAGAACTAGAGCTTTCAAAACAAAAGTAGAGCGGCACAAATAAAGTTACATGCAAAAAAATTCCAAAGCTGGCTAGATGAAAATCATTTATAACCACTCTGTAATTAATTTTGAAACTTAGTTGACTTTCTGCACGACAGGGAGTAGAAATCAACTTTTCTCATGCCAAAATAACTGTGACGGAAGCGACAAAAGTCAAAATTCTCTCTAGAGGAAGGAGAAATGAGCATAATATTTGAAAAATATTTGCTCCCGTTACTGAATCACTCCTATTCATTTCTATTGTTGCCATGGTGTAACTTCAAAAAATGGTAGCTTATTTATTCTATTTTTTTATACTTTGTTAAAGAATTACAGCCAATTTCTTCGTTTTTTTTTACATAAGTCTATTGCTGGTTTATAGCCTTCGCGCTATAAACGACACCTCAGGAATAACCGTGCATTTCTCTCCTTTTATGTATAATATACTATTACATGATACAAGTATCAAATCTTCATAGCCAACCCGTTTTGGAAAGATGATGAAAGCTTTATGTGGAGAAATACCCACTATTTTACGTTATAAATTACATTTATTTCACTACTAACTATTCAATAAGCATCAAAAATTCTTAATTTATTTGTTATCGTTTTGCTGCAATATCTCTTTTAAATGTCTCAATCGGATTATTTTCCATATTACTTTTATCGAAAATTTCACTTCTACTTTTTTCAATGTCACCAATCCAAGATTCCCTGCAATGTAAGATATGTACCGTTCATCTGGAACTAGCGGTTAACCTCAAAATTTATACTTATATATCAGTCCTAGACTTGCAATTGCTAGGAAACTTCCAAATAAAATAGGAAACCTAAGTAATGTACTTGTTGGAATTGGTCTTTTCATGTTTTTTGTTTAATTCTTCTGACTTGTGACCACATAAGAATAACATTCGCGAAGTTAGCTACATTCATGTTTTGACACATGCTGCCATCTCTGAACAGTGAACATGTCATTAATACAATTTATTTCGGGTTAAACATAAAAAATAATTCCACTCATAAATAAAAAAATTAAGGTAACAAATTCTTTCTCTTTTTTCTTAATTTGTGGAATCCAGACATTATATTTTTTTAAAGTAGATATTATATTGATCTAGTGATGTGTAGCTTGTTGAACGATTTATTCTTTATTTATTACTTAAAAATATTAATTCCATTTAATAAAATCGCCCATTTAGCATTTTATTGGTTGACCTCAAATCACCGCTTTGTTTATCAAAATTATCACCAATCTTTAACATTTCAACGTAAAAATCGGTCGATTCTACACTGTTTTCCGTTCGGAATTTAGTAATCCCGCGACGTTGGTGCCAACCCAAACTTTTTGGCGCCGTTTCATCCCCTAAATACTTTACGTCACTATCGGGGTAACCGAGGTAACGGAAGGGTAAGCGTTGACCGGGGTGGTGTGTGCTCGTTCCTTGCTTCGAAGGGACGGTTGCACCTGAAGGCCGGCCTCGTTGATGAGCCCCCGGAGGGGCCATGGGGCAGGCCGAGAGCAGAGAAGATGCTGATGACGACCCGGAAAAATACGCTTCGAGACGAACATCTGGAATCTTGGTGAGATTTAAACGTGCATGCCATTTATTTCACGATATGTGACCTTGCTTTTTAGCGGTTTATATTTTTTATAATGCGTTCGATATGATAAATCGGTAATTTCAAACCGATTTTTTTTGTAAAATTCTGATCAATGGTTGCTAAGGTTGGAGTGTGAGGGATGCGTGCACTGAACTATTGCAGCCCTATGTAATTTTCAGAGAGGGTGAAAGAGTAATTACTATTTAAATTATTGATTTCGCATTCAAAGGAAAATTAAGACAGTCTTATCTTAATTTCTTTTCAACAATCTTCGCGTTTTGTATTCTAAAAAATAAAAATGTTTAAAGTATAATGCGACACTATCTACTTGCTTATTTTTAAGTAATTATTATTATTATATTTTTTTAGGATATTAACTGTATATCTGGTTGCATATGTATATGCAGGAAATGTTACAAAAAACAGTAGAAAAGACCCTTTTCGAGAATAAAGGGTGAATAAAAAGTTTATACTACACAATATTAAAAGTCTTATTAATTAATTATTAGTTTTTATAATCACAAAAATTGCGGAAAATAAATTCTTCAGCATTTTAATGTATATTCTATTTAAAATAATTATTGTGCTTTATCATAAAAATCGTAATTTTTCAAGGAATGTTTTAACTAAAAACAAAACGCGATAGGTTTTGTATTCTTTATTGAATTTATGTTTTACGGCTTTTTGACGCCTCTTTCCGGTATCAAAAATTTGTAAATTTAGGATTGGGAAAAATTAATATCATGGGACGTTCGAACAACACTGTATATTTATAAAAATAATACAATCTTTTATAATTTAAAGAAAAAAACGTACTGGTCTTGAAATTTAGTTTTGCCTTGTTTTTTTTTTTGTTTTTTTATTAATTAACTTATGTTTTATTTAATCAGCAATCGTGCCACGCTCCATTGAAATACTGTTTCTGATTAGTTTTGTAGTAAAGTACTTTAGGATCAGCGTATTAGAACTTTACCTCTGAAGTGGTGAATAAACTTTTATATTTATGAAATTTAACAATACTCATTCAGGCAATATTGTTTATTTACATTTTCTAAATGTTTTTGTAGTGTCAGAGGTACGTAATTTCAAATACATAAATAATAAATTAGCGGAAATATTTTATCTCTTTCTGTGAGAGCGGTATTCAAGAACATTTACCTATCATAATGATGTAAGCATTTTTGTTCAGGTTCTTTAAATTATTCAAAAATAAATCAGTATCATTTAAAATAAAAAATCTCGTCACCAATGTTCGACTAAAAACTAATAGACAAACACTTGATTTTTAAATCATATAACATCGAGATTGATACGATGTAAACATATCTAGAAGTGCATAACTGTTGTAGATAAATCAATAAATTCATTACGACTAATATGAATATCCCCTTACTAACCACACAGAAATTATATCAATTATTATTTAATAAGACGTTTGTAGACGACAGCGACGACGCTACTTTCATGCCAGCTCTATTGTGAATAATTGAGATGCACGAGGGCTAAAGGGAAACCAATACTATGACTGTTACAGTTGTATATATTTATAAATAATTAATTTTATCTTAAATTATTTATTTTTGGGAACAATGTTGTTGGACTTTAAACCGTTTATTCGAGATTGGAAGAACTGCACTAACATTGGAATATTTCCGCATTGATGATATCATTGTTAGTGTTATCACAACGGCAAAATATGAATGATTAATTGTCAACATTTAACGTTAAAATTCTTGACCCCAACATATGAGCACAATTAATACAAATCAAAGAATAAAGACAAAGCAAATTGATAAATTATTCCTTTCCCATTATCGAAATTTTTTCTGATTCTTATCTCGACAATTAAGTAAAAAATATAATAATACTTGCTTTATTTCGTTCGCTTTTCTGACAAAAAGAATTTTCGTTAATCAGCTGATTACTGTTTACAGTCTAAGCGTACCACGCTAATAAAGGTGTGCTCACGCTGTAAAACTATTTATTCTCGTTTTATCTAACTACATATCTGAAAGTATGTAAAGGGAAAATTTTAATTGGTTAACTTGGTAAAACTCTGATTACTTCTATTTTTTGTTAGAACTATTTGAAAAATTATGTCGATTCAGTCAAAATAAACTTCATATTAGTAATATTGATAAACAAATCTTATTGAATTGATACTAAATATAAAAATATTAACTTATTGTGAGTGGATGTAGTAATATTAACTACTAAGATTTGTGCTACAATTAATTTTGTGTTGGTTATGGTGGTATGTAATAAATCATGATTAGGCGACATAAATCCCAATTTTTATAATTTTGGGTATAATACATTGCAGTACAGATTACAGATTTAATATTTACAACGGAATGTTTGTCGTAAAGACTAACAGGCCTGCAAGGGATACCAAGCCTTATCATCCCTAGTCATTACAGCTTCGATTGAAGAGTATCGAATGTTTGTGAAAAGAGTCAAAGTTAATGAAAGCTAGTTAAGTTGTTAAGTACACATTAAGGCAAAAGAGAAAATTGCCAACGACTTAATCGAAATGGGAGCCTATTTCGTCCGCCATCGCCGGTGACGTTACAATTATATCTAGTGAATTTATATTTACAACAAACTCGGGCGCTTTCACGAGCAGTTGGAAGCTTCACTAGAACATTGTACCACGTGGACTTGAGATGGGAGCATACGAAAGCGATTGGGGTGTTGGAACCCCCTAAACGAAGTGTGTGCAGTGGAGTGAGTGAGTGCACTTTGTACAGTGTGAGCCATAACTAGTGTGAGAAAAAGCCGCCACAGCGTCACGCGGCCTTTTCAAACTTACGGCCGTTATGTCTTCCTCAGATTTGGTCAAAACGGCAAAACAGCCCAGGATCAGGAAAATCAGTAGGGTATGAGAACAATTGATTCAAAATTAAACACCGACAAACGTATTACTATTTTTACTAACATTGTAAACAGCAACAGTCAAAAAGTGGAAGAAAATAACCGAAAATAAGACCTTGAACACGGTCATAAAATGACTACTGGCTGCCAATCACCATCAAGTGGAATTTGGCCAGAAATAATTTTCCGTTGGGATAAATTTTCACAATTTGAATTGGCAACAACACGCCCTCAAAATTAACCCATTCTTGCCTCGAAAATAATACAAGTTTTAAAATAGCGATATTTCATTTATTTCGTCATAAAACGATGCCAAAACCTCGACCTTGCTGAAAATGAATGAAGGAAAAATCACGAAATTCGATAAGGGGTTGCAAGTGTTTTTCAAAATTGAAAAATCTGTTGTAAGCAAGGATGTGGTAACATTCAGTGGGTGCGAAGGTGAAATGTGATTTATGCATCGGCCTACGGGGGGTCACCGGTATTTATTTACCGTCAGTTTCATTAAACAATGAAAACTTTATTGTTCTTGACTGGTGTTATTTTTGGGTAAAAGTTTACGGACTTAAAATACCCTTCCCGACCCAGTTTCCGTGTCTTGTTATCACAACTCAATCAATGTGATGCTTGAGTTTTCCAATAAAAGACATCTTAGTGTATAATAAATTAATCGCAGCGTTTATCATGTGATTAAAGATCTATTTACCGACCAAACAACTGTAGATTATAATCGTTCAAGCTTGCTGACTTTAATAAATTGGATTTCATTATCGATGGATTTTTAAAGTGGCTGTAGCCATTTGCTGAATTACATAAGTCGGGAGTTATGTATATCATGGCCTTGGGAATGAATCGTGAAACTATCGCCACATAAATTTTAATTGATAGTGTTGGCCATTATGCATTCTTCTTGTTGCAGCAAGATATTAACGAGTCTGTTTACAACGTTAAATTTATTCAAAATACTAGAAGTTACCTGAATCAACTAGATCAAAGCGATTAGGGTGATAAGGCTGACTAAGTAAAATTTGATTTGAGAAAGTTTGCGACAATTGCAATAATCCTGCGAATAAATTCGAAATAAAGCATAGAAAGTTTTGGAGGCCAATGACAAAATTATGTTATGTGGTGCCAGCTACGTGAAAATCGATAAAATCTCTTATGGAAGTGAAAGTTGGCCAAATGAATATATACAGATTCTGATATTGTTATATCACCAATAATTATTAAAGTAGGTGGGCGATGCAAAGTGCATCAAGTTTTCATTTCGCATTTTATTGACAGAAATTTAACCCAGATTCAGATCAAAAACAAGGCAATTAACGTCTTCATTGTGAAAAGAGTTGCAAATGACGATGCTACCTTTGATAATAATTACGTTTTTTACGGTTTTAGGAGAGCTCTATTATAATGATTAGGGCAAAGTCTGATAAGGTTACTGATAAAAGTTATTTTTTATGTTGATTGACTAATAAACACTTCGAAATATCTTCCGGTGTACCTTTTCAATTGATTTAAATCTAGTACGTAGCACGCAAATTAGGAAAAACAGGACCAGCTGTAAGGCTTAATTTTGTTGTGATTTAACTAAAAAAACACCGTACCCATTTTATTTAAACGAGTTTAAATTGAAATTTTCAGATTTTGCATAGAGAAGTATGTAATAGGGTCTTCCAAAAGTAAATTAATAAAAACACAATCAAATAGGAATAAGAAGAAATTTTTAGAACCACAATTGTGCTATATACATTAAAAACAGTTTTTTTGGAAACCTTAGTATATCATGCATGTTACGAGTTTAATATTAATAATTATAGTAATTAATTAGAAGTGTGGTATATTTTAGTCTTTAAACACAAACACTACACTAAAAACTCTTATCCTGTTGATCATATCTCAGATTGATTTAGAATAAATTGAACAAGTTGTTTGAAGTGTGTAATCTATTATGTTGAAATCAGAACCGAATAAATTGTTTATTTAATAAAAAAAATGTTTTCTCATTTCATGTCTTCTGTATGCGACAAAATTTCAAATATATATATATACTCGTGTATTGTATATATTTTTTAGAGTACGGATAGGTATAGATATTTTAATACCCT